TTGAATCTACATCATGCTAGACTGTGTCAAACACAGCATTCATCTATCAACTTTAGTGGAAGATTCAGAGGCATCTTTAATGTGCTAAAGTTGAAAAGTGGCTTGATCTAAAGCTAAACTGAACAGAGGAGCTGTCTGTAAATATATTGATCTGTCTATACATTTGTACAGAACTGTGAAGAAAGGAAACCTTGTAGTTCTATGCTGTTTTTTCCTGCTTCTTCAATCTGGTTTATACTGCAGGAGTGGTCAAGAGAAGAAAGTATGGCAAAACATTGCCCAAAACACTCTAATTTCTGTATTTGGGCCATGGAAAATGCTGTTAAGCCACTAGTTCTGCTGTGATTAATGCCAGGACCTGCGTCAGATCCCAAAACATCCCAGAATATAACAACTAGTTTGAGGGTTAGTGCCATCTGTAATCACCTTTTTCTGCATCCTAGAAGGTCATGCAATACACAGTGTATAGCTCTGCCTCTTCCAAGTGACAATGTTCTTCTACACCGTGGGCTTTGGCTCAGTGCTCTAAGGCTTGGTTTTCAAAAGTGCTGCGTACCCACGATGCTATTTAAAATTAATGGGAGCACTGACTGCTCAGCACAATTTAAAATCAGGCCTCTGTGCTCAAAAAGATTTTTTTTTTTTTAGCTTAGCGATCACAAGAGTTTTTAAGTGACCAGTCTGAGTTCTCCTAGACACCTTCTGGAACTGATTTTTTTTCACAGAGCGTGTTGTCAATGCTTGATTGATTCCTGGGAAATGCGGGTATGTCCCATTTTAGCTTTTGATATCTTTGTGTGTGTGTGTGTGTGTGTGTGTGTGTGAGAACGTTACTACTATTTTAGTTAATATGCAGCTACTGGAACAGCTGGCATGTGTAAATGAAATGAATTCAGGTATAATAGGTTTACTTCTTTGCGATATTTTATCTGATTAATCTTTTTTCTATTAGATTGAATGGCAAGAGATTAATTTCTGCTGAACTGCCTAAGGATTAGAATAAGAAATAGAAAAATGTCCCTTTGTCATTAAAATTTCTTTACGTGCGTCTGGTTGATATTTAAAGTTACTGAGCTATATAGTATTTGGGCATTTTGGTCATACTCGTTGTTTCAGTATGTCATAGCTCACACTGTTCTGTTGACGTTATATTCCTTCTTGAAATCAATAGCAGCCTATTCTTATCTATGCCAATTATCGTTTTTTTTAATAACAACCTAAGCTTCAGTTAAAAATGTCCTGCCTGGATAAAAGGGGCACCCTCCTTTGTTCCTGACCTTAATCAGTTTTGTTTGTTCTTTCCCTTGTTCTTTGCACAAGTATTTTTCCATTTCAAGCCAAGTGGTTCATTAGGGCTTCTGCAGTAAGTAGATCCAGTGGAACATGGTGCCTCATTCACTGAATTCTTATGGTGACTTCTCATTAAAGATGTTTTGAGTTCAAGCTCTTCAGTTTTAAGGCAAATACACACTACTTTGGCATGAATCTGGACTCTGTGGGGAGTTCTGAATCTCTGGAAGTCACTTGGAACTGAAACAGCAAGGTAAGCAATTTGCTGTTGTGAGAGACCGGCAGTTTAATGCCTGGTCTTCAACTCATGGATTAGCAGTATCAGTATTCATGGCAGAAGGGAAAGAATCACTGTCATGTTTCCATGATCCCTGTTACCCCATCCTGATAGGAGTTATGTCTTTGGAGCTTACGTTTGGATTTTCACTGAGCTGCAGATTGAAAGCAGTTCAGTAACAGCAGTAATATTAGTATTCATTATAGCAACGTGCCTTACCCAATTAGGAAAGCCTTCACTATTTCCTCCTTAAAGCAGCCTTCCTCTTATTTTGGAATGCAGTAGAAGTATTGCTTTATTAATTACGTTTGACCACACCAACGTCACGTCAAGCTTCCTTAAAACTGTGGAAGCTGAATTATTCTAATATAGTCTTGTAAATGCAGTGAAATTACAGTTAGTCTGTGAGTAGCTAGTTGCTGAGTTGAAAAATAAATCTCCAGCGTTTTGTAAGAATGTTTGAGGAATCTGAGCACCAGATTTGGGGCAGCTCTGTCTATACAACAGTAGCTGTGCAGCGTTGTCATTTCCAATTCGGTAGCCGTTTAGACCCATTTTATCTTCAGAGCTGTGATTCCTAAATTGGGAGCAGTTATCTTACTGGCTGAAAGACTTAAGAAAACAAAGAAAGAAATGGGTTCTCACATCTTATCAAATGCCAGTTTCACCCTTAATTCTCCCCACTTTCCATTCCCAAGTGCCTGTGCCTCTCTCTCCCATGGGCACAGTTACGCTACGTGCACATAGTATGAGAAGATGAGTGGAATTACTGAGTGTAATTAAATGGTCATATCTGAATTATAGCAAAAACACAATATGCTATCTGTAGTAAAACTGAAGATTTTTTCATATGACAGTTAAAATTCATATTTTGTCTTTCTACCACTGATGGAATGAATAGCAGAAGAGAGAGTGCATTAAATCCCGACAGCAGTAAAATGGCCATCAGGTGGCCCTGGCTCTCGGCAGTATTATGAACAGAGGCTCAGTTTAGACATATTTGCACACCCTAAACTCCCAATTATGATTGTCTGTATCAGTCAGAATGCAATTTTTTCCGCTACAGGGCTGTCTGTTATTTTTTACATTCATGAAATTGCGCTTAGAGCATTATTTGTGCACCTTGCACATAATAAGAAACTGGCAAACTTTCTGTGCTCTATTGGTAGACCTCCAGCATTTGATACAGCGATTTTGCAGATGTGGCACTTTAACTACAGCGTTACTAACACAGAGGACATGCTGAATGTTAAACCTAGTAAGCCTTTCCTGGCAGTCACAAAGCCCTAAAACGGAGATCCTAAAAACCCAGTGGCAGAAAATCTGCCATCTGCTGGCCAAGGAGAAAAGTACCTGTTAAGCTTTAAAGCTGCGTCGGACAGAGCACTCCAGTGTGATTCCAGCAACAGAAGCTGGTAGTTCTGCAAACGTTTTCAGCAGCAGATCTGAAACAGTGGTCAGTGGTTTTAGGACAGCGTATTTTCCCCTCAGAAAGTACTGTTTCGTTATAATTAAGACTTTCTGTGGGAACATGTCAATGAGAAATTGAAATGTTCTGTTCTAAAAACGTAAACCAATTATGTTTCAAAGTTTTTGGATTGGAGCACTCTCAAGAGAAACTATTTCAAGCTTATATGCGTTTTAATAATGCAACATACGCAAAAAATTCCCAGTTATAGCCCAAATCATACTAGTCATTATTCAGGAAAAAGAAAAGAAGCAAACAACTGAAGATAACTCTCTAGAGATCCCTTTGCCTAGCTTCGTAAGTTTAGTGTCTGTCATGGGCTAAACAGAAGATAGACTTTGCGTTTTATCCTGCAAGGATGGAAGTGAATGAAAAAGCTACGGGATCTGATTAGTGATAGATGCAAGAGTTCTTATTTTTATATCTTACCTTACCATGAAGCTGCAGCTAAGTTGTTTGATTTATTAAAGATTGCTAGTTTTGCTTTCAAAAAGAAAGGAAAATGCAATGTTTCTGATTATATATCACCAGTCATGACGGGTGATTTTCTGTGTAATACATGCATATTTAGTAGCCTATTAAACTGTGTTAAAGAAATGTTTAGATGCAGGTAACCAGGCTGAACTTAGATTCATGGGGACATTTTCTAATTTTGGAGTTCATGTCTTTTAAGATATAATTTCAATGTAGCTTTTGATACAATTAATTAAAAAATTGAAAAGAAAACAAATTGCACATGCAAAGTCATACTGAGTGTACCTCAGTGTAGGTTATCAGAAGGGCTGACTTCTTTCAGTCACAGTGTTGATAGCTACCACTTGAGGTAGGGAAGTAAGTGAACACGGAAGGTGGTTGACATCTGTAGGAAGCAGGCCCTGGAGAGGGAAGGTGTGTGTGCACTGTCAGTGGGTTGTATGGCAAGGGAACGTTTAGATTTATGAAGTGTGAGTTCAGTTCTGTAATTTGTAGGGGATTGTCTTCTCATGGTTAGAGAGCCCCTTCTGCAGTGGTCTTTTGCTGTTTCGCTTTGCTTTCACCTCCTCTCTCCGGCTCTTACCCTTTTTTGCTTCTTGATAGTGCTACCTCCACCAGGTCTCTTGTCCGTCCCATTCGCTCTGTTTCCATCTTTGCCACTAAGATTCTGCTCTTTTCTGTTCTTCACCCCTTCCCCCGTTATTCCACCCTTGCTCCTGTCCTTTCCAGCTCTGTCTTCTGACCTCTCCTTTTAAATATTTTCTCTTTCAGGAGCCTCCCCTATGTCTCTTGCCAAGGCTCCTCACCCTGTTCATCTAACTGTTCTACATTCTGTAAGCAGTCTTCATCTGTCTAGTTCTTCCTCAATAGTGGAGTGATGGCAGTAGAAGTGTAGCACACAAAAGAAGGGCACATTTCTAGCTCTTGGTTATATAGGCTTGGTGCCACAGCAATCCCAACAGTTGGGGTGAACAATTACAGAGAATATCCTGTTCTGTCTCTGCAGCTGTGTTGAAGGATGCTTAGACTGTAGTTGCATTCTCTGTGGTCCTTTACAGCAAAACAAGTTAAGTGTTCACCCTTTGTAGCACCTCACCCTTTCAATAACTTTTCAGATGACTGAGCAGTGGTTCGAACTGGTGAACTGATCTGGTGTTAAAATATTTACTTATTTACTGCTGGCTGTTTTTCCAGCATAATGAGTTATTGGATCCATACCTCACGAAAACATGATATTTGCATGGCGTTATTTGCCAGAAATATTTGATCCCTTTTAGCTAAGATTTCCCACCAAGAGCTCAGCCTTTGGTAGATACCTAGCATGGAAAATTCAGTCCAATCTCTTAGTTAAGCCAACTCTTGCAATCGGAGAGGTCAGACAACTTCTAGGTATCTTGAGTGTTTGCAATTCTGTCATCCGATCTACAATATTTGTGCACCTCTGCCACAGGAAAATCTGTCAATCATTGTGCCTCTGCTCTGTAGTGCATATATTACACATAGGGAATATGCTTTATTTGGGTTTCTGTCAGCTGTCCCTATTATCTCTTTCAACAAGACCACCTGCTAGTGATAGACTGGTAGGAATATTAATTAGAGTAAAGGCACTGACAGGTAAAACAGGTTCCTGTATTTTGTTTTGTGCTTAAAGAAATTTCCATCTAGTAAATGAGAGGAGTATTATTTTAGATATCTAAAGAAGGCATCCTTGTTCTCTATTGGCTTGCTTTTGTCTTACCCACCAGAAATACTTGGTAGAGATTCTTTATGGAATTTGCAAAATTCTTTATGCTGTTGTTTTAAACATAATGTAGTGAGACTTGATGCAGTGATTCACTGTGTGTTTATAGCAATCTTGAGACAGATGAGTTGCTTATAACTGTGACATCTACAGCAGAAAGCTGTTGACTTGTCCTGGATTCCCTTAAATAGACTGGTTCTGCATCTGTGATGCCACGCCTGTTTTACAGCTTTGCCATACGTGCCAAGATATGCAAACACAGACTCATGGTCTTAGGTCTCCAGAAGTGCTGGGGACCTCTTTGAATATCTTAGCTAACAGAGTAGGAGCTTTTTGCCTCTAAGATTTCATAGATTTTAAAGGACAATTATTTGATTTTCTGTGTGTGGCCTCACACGAGGACTGTGCAATGTTTGAGTTATGGTAAAGCATCTGAAAGGTCAAAGCTTGTCTCTTCATTTTGGGTAGGTGTTGAGTTTTCTGTTGTTGGATTGATGCTTTCTGCTGCAGAAGGTAAGAGGTCCTCGTCTGTCAGTTCTCTGGGAAAGCTAGAAGGAACTGGGAGGTCCATAATTGGTTTCCATGGTTTTCCAGGACATCGGGGAAGAGGAGACTCTGAGCGATCTGGCAACCCATTAAATAAAGAAATATCAGGAAGAGTTACCGTTTCTGCAGGAATACTAGTTTCCTGTCTTGCAGCCCCAGGAGTAACTAGCTGTGACACCATTTCAGCACTGGATGATGGGAGGGTTTCTTTGTGATTAAAAGCCCTTTCATCAGATTCCTCAGAAGATTTGGGTTTCGGATGTTTATGTTTACCATCCTTCCTGTGTTTTCGATGCCCACACCCACAGCCAGTTCGGTCCCCACAGTCAATGCCCTGCCCATGCCTTTCGTCAGACGTAGGATCCTTTTTAAATCCATGCCCATGTTTACACCCATGTTTATGCCTGTGTTTATGCCCAGGTTCACCTTCACCTTCTGGTCCACGTCCATGATCTTTTCTTGTTTCTTTGCTAGGTGTCTGACTTCCTGTTTCATTTTTATCAGAGGATGTTGTTTTATCTGGCTGATGTTGCAAAAGGGAGAGGCTTCGGAAGGGGGTGAATCCAGGCGGCCTTCTTGCAAGGATCAGCTAAAAAACATGGCAGTATTAGTAGTTAGCCGTATTTTTTACATGACCAACGTAATAGCTTTGGATTTGGAAAATTCAGAATTTAGCTCATTGCAGTACATGAGTTGATTAGCAAAAATATGTTATCAGATTTTTGAAGTAAACTGAATCTTTTCTATCTCTGATAAGGGTGGGAACATAAATATCCATCCAGGTAACTCCGGAGTATTTTAATGACTATATGTAAGAAGAGCAAATTGTTTATTTTTGAAATTCTGCCCGTCTTAGTGTGGAATGATACTATAGAGAAGAAAACAGCTGTAAGCATGTGTATTTGTTTTAGTTTATGAAGAGTACAGTTGATTTCTGGAACGAAAATGTCCCTGCTCTTGTTAGAGAATAACATTCTGATTTATAAAATTAGTTTATGCTAAAGGTTGATGGAATAGACAAAAGATCTGGATTATTTCATCATATGAAATATAGCTATTCAATTTTTTGTTTCTAGCTATAAAATTCTATGTTTCATAGAACTACTTAGAAATAATACATTTAACACTGGTACTATAAAACATTCATTTGTTGTTGAGTAATCTCTATTTTCCCATCGCTGTTTGTTCAGCTGAAAGCTGAAGGCTGAAAGCATGCTGTACAGTTTGTGTCTGCAGTGGGTTTCATTTCTGTCTGCTAAAGCATGTGATCCTTATCTAACTGCAAATCAGGGATGTTTGAGGGGGAGCTAAATTTGAAAGTTGATGGGGATACAATATCATAATGGAAGCTGAGAGGGGAGCTCTTAGTTATGTCGATGTCTCTATGTTAGTCGATACCTAATGAATGGGTAGTTATGAAAGTGCAAACACAGCAAAATTACTGAAACCGCAGTTATCAGAACTAAAAAAAGTTTATATTTATATTCTGTTCTGAGACTTCAAAACTGACTCACATCTAGGGCTAGTTAAGAGCGGAGCTGAGCTAAGAGGAAACTCTAAAAGCTGTTGCTGCCAATACTGACAAGGCTAAGCAGAAGGAAATCTGCTACTCTACTAACATGAAAAGAATGGCAGATGCTTTTGAAACCTATGCATCTATGGGGTATAGTTTTTGCATTGCCAAACGCATGTTTGTCCCAATTTTTAAACTGGTATGAAGAGTGATTCAAAGGAACTGATGGGGCTTAATACCTCAGAGCTTAACTGATAATGCAGAGAAGCAGTCAGTGGGCAGCATGTTCTCTCTGTGCTGCTGCCTTACTTTGCACTTCTGTAATCAGTGTTGTCTGCTGTCTCATGTTATGGCAAATAGACTTTGATGTAACAAGTTTGCTGAGGTTAGACAGTGAGGGAGGAGTGTGGCATTAGTGAGGTGGTTAAAAAACGTGTTCCTTTATTTTTAGTACAATTATGAGATAATTTGGGGTGGATAAAGAATTTAATATCTTTTTGTTGTTGTATGCTCTGCTTATGATGGTGGATAATAGAATGAAATCATACCGGTAAATATTCCTTTGTGCAGGTAACCCGAGGCATTGTTTTATTCTGCCATGGGATCACATAAATTTGTGCTTCACATTTCAATGGTACCTGTTGTCAAAACACAAATTAACATATTAAGGCAGCAAAACATCAGACACAAAGGAAAAGAGTTGTACGTGAAAAAAGATAAACATTTTTAATAATGCTTTTAAATACAAGTATGCTTGGAGCTCTACCTGAATGTCTATGAAATCCATCTTAGTGATGGAGATTCCTTCGTACTGGGACGAATCACTGTTTAGTTTTCCAAGGTTTTAGGATACCTGTGTGAACACTTCAATTCAACTTCTAACAATAATTATTGGAATTGTTGTATCTGATACTTTTGGAGCATTAACTATTTAATCTTCATGATATTCCTAACAAATATTGTCTGTTGATGGTACTACCCCTGTTAAAAATTGGAGATTTTTTTTTTTTTTTTTTTTTTTTTTTTAGAGAAGAGAAAGGCGGGTTTGTTCAACTAGTTGATGTCTGCTGCGCTAACAGTTTTTAACTCTGAGGTAAACACTGTTCATATGGTAGGAAAAGAGAGGGGAGATAAAGCCTCTCTTTTCCAACCAACTCCCTTGCCAATGGTTTCTGGTCCTATCAGCATCGCCTCCCAGCATCTGGAATGGATTTTCCTAGTATCAGCAGCATACATTCCAGAATCATCAGTTCTTTGCACACCAGTGCAAAGTCTCATACTTTCCTTTAGCTGCAAGTGCCACAGATTCAGGAGTATTGCAGCCATTTCATATCCTGGCAGCCTTCTTCCCTCCCGTCTGTGATTCCGAATTATCAGAATAAAGCCCCCTTCACTTTGCAGTGAACGCTAAGATACTGCAATTGGGATGACTCAGTCTAAGCTTTGTGTTTTACTGCCACTGTCAGTGGCTTGGATTGCAGATATTGAAAGGTGTCCCTCTTGTTGTTGAGGCAGATGTTTACTGAAAGAGGTGATGGAACTCAAAATCAAATGTTAATTTGCATTAAGTGACTACAATTTCTAGTGCAAGTGAATTTGTCCATTTGGAGCAATTCTTTTGACATTGTAATTGGTGACATCATCATGACTTACGCTGCCAGGTGGGGCTTCACAGTCTTCATTAAGTTCTTCAAACTCTTTCTTTGAGCAGTTTGTCTTCTTGCCTGCAAATGTTATATGGTAGTTTTTCCCTGCCACCACCTGAAAAATTAGCAAGAGGGCTTTCTGTGGTAAAGGCATTTTTATTAAAAGGGGTTCACAGAAAAGATGGGTTTCTGCAAGTTCCTTTCTGGACCACTGGGTCAATGCAGGTTAAGAACAATATTAAAATACTTGACAGCAAAGCTATCTGCTTCTAATCAACTTACCTGTTTACTCCAGTCCTATTCTCAAAAATTCCAGCATTGAAATTGGAGGAGACAGAAAGGTCAGAATAACACCAGGCCCACAGTTCTGGCTTTGTTTTATTGGATGCCTGTAGTAATTTCATTAATGACAAATGAAATCATTAGAGACACCACAGCAGGGAGCCAAATATGATGCAAGAGAAGTGAGCAAAATGAAGTGCGTGGTAAACAGGCTCAGTTGAAAATGGGCGTATTTGGCAAATGCACTGAAGAAAGGAACTGCACTGGTTCAAGAATACGCCTGGAATGAGTTCTCTTAGTATTTCTTACAATGTCCAAAATAATATAAATCTTGCTGTAGAGACAGCAGGCAAGGCATGAAATTCTGGCTCTTTATAAGTCTATTTTGCATGCTAATATCAATCGTGGTATGAAAAGTGGGCGAGAAGAAAGAGTAGGAAAAAGAAAAAGCACATACATTGTTAGTAAGACCATGAGCTACTCAGAAAAACTTTGGTGCACTTTTAGTGCTTTCTCCAGTTGTACCCCACGTGCTCATGACAAGTTTTCTACAAAGTATCTTCAAAACTACTCCACTGGCTTTTTTTACAGTTCTTTGGGGGTTTCTAAATGCCAACTTTTATATGACATAACAGTAAACGGGGCAAACACAATGCTGATCAATGTTATCCTCCTGGTTCCTTGTTCTTCTTTATCTAGCTGTATTTATCTGTATATGTTAAGTTATGCACGGATGTCCTCTCGTGAATCCAGCTGGAGCATTACTAGCGGTATTATTGGGAAGTCCCATTTCTTGGAGTTTAAAACTATTAGAGGGTGGACAATGCATAAAATAACATACAAGAGTTTTGGTGTGGTGGATCAACTGGGTAGTTTTGTCTAGCAAATCTCTTCTATCGTACAAGTCCATGAAATATTACAGAGACTGCTAAAAAGTGGGGTAAAAATACAGAAATCAGATGCCCTAAATCAACCTTCTTCCCATACTTTTAAAATCACATTAAAAAAAAAAAGCCCTCAAATCAAGAGCCTGGGGATTTTTAAATCACTTTTGAATGCAAGCCAAGATAGGTAAAATTTTGCAAGGAGTGCATGGATGTCTCCGTGACCACATGTGTCAACACATAGAGAAAAACATTATTTCAATTCTAAATCCAAACTTTAGCTAGCATGCAGTTCACATCAATAAGACTGCTGTGTCTGTGCCTCATCTCTGTGATGTACACAACTAGTTTTAAAAGGAAGAATAAATCCCAACCTGAACTGTCGCTTTTTCTATTTCTCCAGCTTTATAGTAGAAATCATCATTATTCTCCAAATTGTACTTCTCCATAGAAACCTTCAGTAGTTCTTTCAGTTCTGGGCTGTCATTTGGGATAGTCTTTGGACAACCAGCACAAATGAGAGTGGGAGGATTTACGGTTTCTTCAACTGAAAGAAAGCAATGGATTTCAAATCTAAGAAACAAAAGATTCAAAACTCATAGGCTGGGAAAACCAGATAGTTATAAATCTCCACCTTCTGGAACACTTTGTGTTTGATTCTATCAAATAAAACCAAAATATCTTTGAGTTTTATGTGACGGATGTTATCGTATCTTGATTATCTAAAAGAGCACTGTCTCAGCACCTAGTGTCACGCAGGACACTGAACAGTAGTCTTCTCATAAAAATAAGAATGGGGTGTACCAGTTGAAGGTATCTAGCAAATAAAGGAAGGGAACATCTGCATGTACGGAAGGACCTGAATTGGAGGAAAGAAAAGGATCCAGCCCAGATTTCAAGTTATTGGCAATGAATGAGGGTATTGAAGAATATCTTTGCTTGAAGAAAAACAAGTCTCTGAATGGGTGAGAAAGCAACACCTGTTATATGGGGTAATATTGTACTGAGTGATTTAACAGATTTGCAAAACATGACTTCTGTTTACAACGAAAAAGCTGATTCAGAGCTGTGAAATGGTGATAATCTTTGTCCAAATAGATGGTTGGAGGAAGAAGTAACAATAAGAAAACCAGGTAAGGGTTGATTGTAGTAGACTTATAAATTCTAAATAATTTACTTCCAAGGAAAAGTATTAACTTCTAACTTACCAAATTTAGGGATAGTCATGCAATATGAAATAAAAACAATTATAGTATCACTAGATGAATTACTAATTTTGGACCAAATCTTAAAGAAGTCCGCTCCCTTGCTTTTTGAAAGAGTATATTGGAACTCTTTGGAAATTCTGGAAAGAATTGTTTACTTAAAGAACATGATATTAGCTGCCGGTTGTTGTGGTGGAAAAGGAAATCATCTTTGTAAGGCAGTTATATTCTTTGATTTTGTATCTGCTATCTCCAAGTGAGAGTTCAGGACCAGCCCCATGACACAGAAACAGGGCAGTATGTAAATGATAAAATATAACTTGTATGGTGCTGTTACATACCTGGAAACTTGCATTGACTTGCAATATCTACGATCTGCGCATTAAGACTTTCATATGCTTTGGCCTCACAGTTACCTACACGCTGGAGTTTTAAAAAAAAAAAAAAAAAAAAAACAAAGCAACATATTATTATTTAGAAATAATCAGCAAACTCATATAAATGTCCTAATTCCTTCCTGCTAACCCAATAAGTCAAGCGTTCTACTAGTAATTCGTTCCTCCAACATATTGATAGTAAGAAGCCTGCCAGACAGTATACCCAGACAGTAAGCAGAGCCAATAAATGCTGAAGGTTTAGAAAGACCACTCAGAGGAAATGAAATCATAAAAGCTAAATGAGTTGTTTGTATGTGTTCATTACAGAAGGAAAAGGGGAGGTTCCCAAGCCAGAATCCTATTTCACAGAGAACTCAATGGAAGTTCTGTTTCAAATTATAAAGACCAAAAAAGAAGGTTATGGAACTAAATATAATAAACAGTACTGAGTTTCTGGGCCTGCTGATATTCGTTTAAGCGTTCTAAAGAAACCGTGGTAGATGACTTGCTTCAAACTGCCTTGGTGTCCTAGGACCGGAAGACAGCAAATGTGATCCCATTCTTTTTAGAAAGGTTTCTAGTAAGCTATAGACCGGTGAGCCTGATGTCTGTACCATTCAAATGATTAGACATTATAATAAGGAAAGAATTAGGGGACACGACTACGTGAAGGAGAATCAGCTTTTTCTGTGTAGACAGAAGTCATACTTTGCAGAAGTCATACTTTGCAGATCTGTCAAAGTTCTTCAAAAGCATTAACAAACATGTGAGTAGAGAGAGATCTATGAGGCTGATACAGTATGCTTAGATTTTCAGAAAGGTTTCAATGAAGTCGCTTATCAAAGATGCTAAAGGAGATTAATCAGCTGTAGAGTAAGGGAAAGGCTCTTGCATGGATAAATACTTAGTTAGAATATGTAAAACAGCATAGGATTAATGATCAGATCTCGCAGTGGAAAGAGTTCAACAGCTGGGTGGCCCAGGGGTTTGATCTGGCAGAATAAAATTAACGTAGAGAAATGTCAAATGACACACAAGGAAGAAGCCAATGCTAAATCTGTGATAGGCTCTGAGCTGACTGTTGCCATTCAGATCAAGATCTCAGGCCTATGACAGATGCTTGAAAATATCATCCACAAAAACATCAACTTAGTAGCAGTTTAAAAAAATGGGGAAAAAAAGAACATAAAGGCTTATTATGAAGGTTAAAGAGCATTAAATTATGCCCCATTTTAGTTCTGTGGTTCACATGCATGATGAATACAGGGTGCAGTTCTGGTCCTCCTGTTTCAAAACAGATAGTATAGAGCTGATCAAAGGTATGAAGCAACTTCTACGGAATTTGGTCATTCCAAAGACTAACTAAATCAGCTAGGACTCTTCAGTTCAGAAAAGAGGTTTTTGAGGGAGGATGTGATGGCTAGAAATCATGAATGGAGCAGGTGGGTAGAGATCACTTACTCTTCCAGTACAAGAATGAAAGAGCATCAAAGAGACTTAGCAAGTGGAAATTTCAAAACAAATACAAGGAGGCGGCTCTTTGAACAATAGATAAGGTGATTTGTGGAATTTACTCTTTGCTTGCTAAAAGCTTACACAAATTTAGAGGAGGACCAGATAAGCTCTTGGAAGAGAAATACACTAAAAATTACTAAACGTAAGTATATGGGAAGTACCTGAGCAAGGAATGGCTGGTGACAAATATTTGGGGATACGGGCAAATATTTGGGGATATATCCTATATGCTTTCCTTGATCTTACACCCTTGCCAAAGCCTCTGCTTGTGGCTACTGTTAGAGTTAAGATACTAAGCTAGATGGAACTTTATGTTCATGGTTCATGCAAAAATAGACAGATAAGAGGTCCGACTGAAGTTTCTTCACAATATTTGAACTTTGTTGTCTTCAGTGAATTGTCATTTTGTTTATATTTCTGATTGGGACAAAGAATGTCAGCTTAGGCTCAGTTATTTGAATAGCCATTCTCTCCAGTGTTTTTGAGCACATTTTGGAAAAGTTGGCAGCATACGATAACAGTTATATGGTAACAAGATAATATGATAACAAGACGTAATAGTGGAAATATTTCCATATCTGACATGTTCTGATTGGACCTGCAGGTTTCTAGAAATAACTGTGGATGATTGATTAACAAGGTTGCTTAACTGTTCAGGAGATAAGTGATTAAGATCCAATCCCACAAGCCCTATGTGATCGAAATGGCATGTCAATAGCGTAGCACTTCTGGATTATGTGAGATGGGCAGAAGTCTTTATCTCCAGCTGACAGATAGGGGAGTTGAGATTGAAGCAGATCGAGTAACTTGCTTACGGTTAAAGGGCAAGCCTAGCTAATGGAGAGATTTGCTTCAGCTAGTCTTGATTCTCAGTCTCCTGTTATTTGCTACAGTGTTTTCATTCTTTCCTTTTCTCACCAGTGCTTCTGAAATGCAGTAGCATTCTTGAGACATCCAAGGAGTAATTTTTGAACAGGAGAAACTCTTGAGTGTAGCACTAAATAGCACAGTTCCACAACAGCTGAAACAGATGTGAGTCGGGGCTCGTGTGTGTGGTTCCTTCCCTCCCGTTTACCACCGTTCTTCACTCTGGCTGTACATTCCTGCCCGCTGCCTTGTATTGCCACAAGCACTCGTCTGACCCCAGGGTGAGCTGGCTCAGTGAGGTCAGTTGACAGAACAGCTCTGTTTGTGCATTTAGTTCTGTTCCAGCTCAAAGAAGCAGAGGAAGTAAGTGCCCGTTTTGGCAGCACTGCATAGCTGGAATGTATATATTTGTTAATAATTCTTTTTGAAGCTTTCTTATTTGGACTGCAGTAGAGAGAAGTAATAATTCAGCTATTTATTTTTCTTAGAAACTATGTCTTATGCTGGAAAAGTACTGCTCATGACCTTTTGGTTTGTACTGGAGTAGCAGTCTGGATAGCAACTTCTCAATGGATTATTTGTTTAGGTAAGACTGTTTGGATTCTGTAGAGTAACCTGCAAACATTTTAGTGGTTTTCTTGGTCACTAATTCAAAAGAGGACACGGATGTTCCAACTGCGTAAACAGACAGTTATCTGTAAGCTTGGATTTACATTTCATTGACTGGGTTAAGCAGAAGTATAAATATTTTCCTGAGTCAGAGCTCAATCATTATTTCCTAATATATTTTCTTGATAAACAAATGTTGAAGATTACTTACCCCTGTAGAAGTGGTTTTGCACTCTGGACTTAAATCTTGAAATTGGTCTTTGGAACAATTAGTCTCCTTGATTTCATATTTAATTATATAATTCCATCCAGCTACCACCTGGAACAGATATTTAGGAGCTGCATTAAATAAGCCAATACATGCTTCAAAGTTAAACTGTTAAGTGCAATCACCAGAGAAAGCAAGCGCCTTCCATCCATCAAATCACTTTGCAGTCATTGAGCCATACAGTACTCCAAGACAGCAATAAAATACTATTCTTGTACTACAGAAAGTAAGTTAAGCCATGCAGATATTGGAAATGCAGTTTGTTTTCAGAATCAGGCTCTCCTGGCAAGCCTGCAGCCTCGTACCACATGGTTCCTTGCGCTTTCCTCCAAAGTGTCTGTTACTTATTACTCCTGGTGACAGGAGGCTGGTCTAGATGGATGACTATGCTAATACAGCTTGGCAATTCCTGTGTTCCAGAGCGTATGACATAGTAAAACAAAATCTGAATAATGTAACTTTACACTGTTGGCATCTCTTGTTAGCGAGTGTCCTGCATTTAACATCTACCTGTAATTGTATCTGCCTTGGGCTTTTCCCCCCCCTCTTCTGTCCAGACTTTTGACTTTTTTTAATTTTCTCTCCAGGAAGCAATTCAGTTTTTCACGCTGTGGCTACTGCTTCTCGTCTATGAACTCTCTCCGTGTCACCGAGTTAGGTCAGGCAGCATTTGAACACAATTCAGAACTAAGAATCAAATACAGAAACTTTCCCTCCCCGATCGATTACAGTGGAGGGCTCTTGACTAGTCTGTGTTGGCCGGAAGTGACATGACGGTTCTCTCTCTAGCGGCTGGAGTGCAGTCTCTCTGTAACATTTTGCCATGTGGCCTAAATGTCGTGTGTGCTTGTCTTGCAGGTAAGAGGAAAAATAGGCTAACCTATTTTTCTTTATTGGTTTTACCTGTCCTATAATGTTATCAGCTGCTGACATACAGGTCCTATTCCACTGTATAAACATAGATGTCTAGTGCCATTTGAGGGGTTATCCAGAGTATATGAGACATCTGCACACGTTGGCAGTTTTGGCACAGACTCTAGGGCCAGGGACAGACACAGGCCTGCTCCTGCTGGAGCTTCAGGTAGGAGCCTAGTGGAATACTCTAGGGCATCTCAGATGACACAAGGTGCCTGTGTCAGCACTGCATACGAATGAATTGGTGCTGGACACTGGTTGCTTGCAACTGCAGGTAAAGACAAACCATGTTTAATACCAGTGGAGAGCTCGGAAAAGCCAGTAGGTAACTGTTCATGATTCCACAGAACTCAGAAGAATTACTTAGATGGTCTGCATTCTGTATGCTCTTATTGTGAAATATAATACACCTGAAAATCAGAAATGTGCACGTAAAGCAACCAAAATACCTTTTTCTTTTGTAAAATGTATAGAAAAATCACATACAAACCTGTCTTTTTGCTTCTTTTATTTCAACAAGTTTAAAAAGGGCAGCTTCATCACTGTGCCTGTTAAACTTTTGGATGGCTTGTTTCAGAATTTCTGACACTTGTAAAGAGTCACTTGATATAGGATGAAAGCATCCAAGACATACAGCCTCAGTAAGCATTATCTTTGTCATAGCTGGAAAAGAAACAAACCAAAAAATATAGGCCTGCATGTAAAGCTGTGTCAGTTTTAATTTCTCATACCTGGGAATGACAGAGAAGGTTCAGTGAGCAAGAATCTTTCCTGCTTTTAATCAGAGCGATCAACAAAATCTAGATTCAGGTTTCAGGGCCTGCAAAGATACTCACTGTATTTAGAGACATGCTTCTCTATGTAATGAGAGGGGCCATTATGAAATTTGGATCCAAGCATGGTCTCAGCAGTGAGCTTCACCCACAAAGTTCAGGAGTCATTGAATCTCTGAAAAATCTGGCATGCGGTTTTAACACCACTAAGGAGGAGTCATCCCTCATCCAGTCAAGGAAGAGCCAGTGGAGGCCATAGTTAAAGAGATGTTCTTCAGCTTCTTCAAAGTTCACCCACAGCACGCAACTGTTTCCTAACCTCACCATGTTTCAGAAAGGGGACTTTGTCAGGAGTGCTTTGGCTCACCATGTGGACTGCCCTGACTCAGAGCTCCCTAGAGACTGTAGTTAAACTATTCTACTGCTGTGTTGTCTGAACTGCCCTTGCTAGTCACTTCAGCTGCCAAAAAGTTACCCCTTGGTGTTAGCTTCTAGGCTGAACCAGCTGGGATGCTGTGGATAGGCAAGCTTGAAGGAGATGCTCAAAATTGTGTTTCCTGCTACTAATCCTATTAACCCTCTTTCCTTTCTAGTAATCATGGATTAGATTTTCATAAATTAGTTTCCTAGTTCAGAACGTAAATTAATTTCATGATTCAGTGAGCTTGAGAATCAAAGTGAGACAATATTATGGTCTCTGTGGAATTGAAATAAAATTTGTGTGCCTGATCCTCAGCTGGCATAAACTGGCTTTAATGGAGTTATGCCAACTTGCACCAGCTGGGGATCCAGTCCAAGGTCAATATGGGCAAACACTTCCACCAAGGAGGCTTGACAGTATGGTTCCTAACATACTGTGGGGAAATCCCTAAACATTTTAGGTCTATTGTTTAACTCTTCTGTTTGAATCCTTTGCATTTGATTTTGCTCCTTGCTCCTTTGTCCATTTGGAATAACTCAGTGTAAGGAATATTATTAGTCTTAGCTCTCATAGAATACATGAGCAGAGTCTGGCCCTTTGTATTTATAGCATCATCTATCACTGCCTGCCTTTGAGTCAGTCATGGCAAATATATATGTTACAGAAGACTATGACCTTGTTTTCAGGGAGCAATCACAAACAAAATAATAAAACATTAGTACACTCAGTTCTGAAAGGATTATGGTTTCAGCCTTTTTGCAAGGGCTGAACAAATGTGTATACTTTCTTCAAAGCTGCAATAAGTTGGTAACAAGAGATGACCTTTGTAGGTTTAATACCCGATTCATTTAATTCAAACGTGGTTCTTTAGCTTTCTAAGCAAAGATTCAAACGCAAATTTCCAATGCATTCTATATGGAATTCACATACCTTCTGCTGGCAACTAGATGTCACCGTTGCCCTACAAATGCATCTGAAACCAAGCGGCATTTGTTCGGTAGTAGAACATGGGGGTCTGCGTGTGCTGCAGTTCCTAGTAAGGCAGTGGCTGTAGGTATAGCCATTATAGCTTTAAACAAGATAACTAGTACCAAAACTCAAAGATGCAAACCATCTTAGAAATCTTGATAAATCTTTCTATTGTTAGCCCACACTTAACTCCGGGCTGCCACAGTTATATGGTCATTTTAAAAGTAGCCTGGATATGTCTTACCTGGACTCTAGTCACAGGTACGTAAAGAGTGACAGCTCTGTAGCTGAAATATGTGACTTGTTTCTAATAAAGGAAGTTACTACGTGAACATTATAATCATATATGAATATCTTAAAGGCAAGAAAAGTAGTCCCGGCTGTAGTTAAGGTCCAATAGGTTTCATAAAAAGTCTCAAGTAATTACATCGCTACTAGATTCTTAGTTTTGAAATGAAAATTTCTGCAGCGTTCTCAGCTGACGGTTGAAGATTTGTGTTGTAAACGTCAACAAAAATAAGTTAGTCGTTTTTAGTTTTGAGAAAATTAAGATACAGTTTTGTCCTACAAAGTTTTATCTAAACGTTTCTGGCACAATTTCATACTTGAGTAATTGAGGATGGAAATTTAAAGTGTGACAAGAGGATATCTAGTCTCTAGGTTACCGATGTGCTTTTGGTCTTAAGCAATTCATTTTAATGGGGTATAATTTTAATGTTTTAAAAAGCTTATTATGCAAACATGCCAGTTTTCAGTACCAGATAATAGGGTCTTCCCCTTAGATAGAAATTGCCAGTGCTTCACTGACTTAGCATGTGTGTGCAGAATGGAGTGGAGTGAAATTTCATCTTTAACATGTAGTTGCTCGTTGAAGATGCTTTATGAATGTCTGAACAGAATGATGAGGAGCTTCTGCCTTTAAAATTACCTGAAAGTCTCAGCATGACTTTTTTCCCCATTCTTATTTTTCAATGTACTTGTTGAATGCCAGTTACATACCTGGATCAGTTTTGCAATCTTGTGAAACATTACTTGTTTTTTCAGCCTTATTAATGTGAACTCGAGCTGTGCATTCTCCAGTTTCCTGCAAATACATATGACAGCATTTGTCTTAAACTTGATTGACGAATAAACCCAGATTAGTACCATATTGGGTGGACAAGTTCATAGGTACATGTATAGTAATGTCAAATCTGCTATTTTGTTATTGCACAAGGAATGGTTTTGTTGATTGTGGGGAGAGTAGGAGATGGATGGACCAGATAATTTGGAGAGATTCTTTTGTGTCATGATGATGAATTGTAATTAACTAAAGAACTTACAGCAAGTATAAAGGAAATGAACACACCTTCCTAAATAAATCTGTACAAATTGCATATTTACCTAATTTCCTCTCTGCTGGTGTGAGATATGCTGCAGTGACCATGGCATTTCACATAGATTAAATGATATGATTACCTTCTTCCTTTTCTTTGCATTGTGTACAATATGGAATAACAGTGACATCCACTGGGGATGTGTAGTGTTTCCTGAATGCTATGGATGCCCCAATTGTACTTCCTCTAGGTACAATGAAGCTCTGAAACGTCTGTATGAAAAAGGTCTCTCCTGCACATATGCAGGATTATAATGATTAACTTTAGGGTTGTAAACATTTCCGTACTGGACTTTACTCCTATCAGCTCTCAAAGGCAACACACACACACACGCACACACAAAAAGCTAACTCCTCTTCTGTATTTTTTCCCAGGAGGCTGCAGTCTTGCTGATTATGTTGCTGTTTGTATACAGAGAGTTTTAGAAGAGGACAGACACTTACAGCTTCTGCAGGTACTTTGTAATCACAGTCATTCCAGTGTTTGTTTTCCTCAATGGCACAAGTGGTCTCTCGTATTCGGTATTTCACGTAGAATTGTGTGTCAGGACCTGCCTGGATAAAAACAGTATGCAAGTCATCATTTGCACAGTGATTAATCAGGACATCATTGATGAAGTAAGAGTTTCGAAGGGTAAATTCTATACATTGGTTACCATATATTTTATAATATGGTTTCAGATTAGCTGCTGTTCTCCATGGAAGATCTTCCAAATCTTGCTAACTTCATAATTAGCTGATCTGATTGTATTATTGAGCCCTTAACTACAGCTACAATATGGTGATAGTAGTAGATGCAGTGTGCTCATCTGCTTACAGTTCAATGTACTGTAGCTAGGATTTTAAAAACAGAAAAAAGTGGTTAGGTTTCTATACTCATATTCAAATGTACTCCAAATAAGCAAATTTGGCTGCTGCTTGGATAGTTTGCATACTTACCATTTTGGACTGTGCTCCTGTCAGACTCAATCACTCTCACTCTTGGCCTGTTCCCAGATCTGTCTGCTTTCCTGCTGTAGCCAGCACAGAAACAGCAGCCAGCAGCCCTCAGGCAGCCTGGCCATGTCCAAACTGCATTACTCTACATTAACAGGGTGCTAAGCAGCTCTTCCTTCTTGCGGCAAAGGGTTCAGGAGGGCCTGTGCTCTAGAGACAGTCTTTGACTGTGCCTGCAGTTCTCCTATAGGCATTAAAGGCAAAGTCGGTCAAGAGGGTCGTCTCAGTGTACCTCGTCTCAGGAATTCGATGAGATGAAGTACAGATAAAGCCTAGAAGTTACATGAGGTCTGTCCTGGCCAGTGGAAGTTCAAGGCATTATGATGTTTGTGAACCAGTAGGGGGCATTTTCTCGATGCTCTAGGCTCAGTAGTGAGCCCATGCCTTCAAATAACATTTAACATACTGCAACGTTTATGGTTCATCCTTACACAAACCCAAAAGTTCCTGATCTTTTACAGCCGCTGAAAATGCTCTGGCAGTGTACCTCTTGAAATGCAAACACAGGCAGTTGCTGTATTTTAACATTAGCTCTGTTAGCAGTATCATTTGAGGATAACCAGAATTCTGAGGTAAGAATTCTGTACCATTCTGCTGTACAAGCAAGTGAAGTTGAGTTGACATGGGTGGAATATACTGGCTTTACATTGGTGGCGCTGAAGGCAGAATTACATTCTGTGTTCTCTCACTTGCTATTGCGTATTGCTACAGCTGTGAAAAAAATGGTGGTACTTGAAATAGTCGCTGCAGGCTGTAAAACAGGATGAAACAGCCTCTGAAAAACGGACATATTCCTCAGCAGGTATAAACTGACATTTATGGAGCTGCATCAGATTACACTATCTCAGATAAGCACTAAAAAAAGAGCCAAATTCTGTTCTGTTACACTGTTTTAAACCTGGAATAAATCAGTTCAGTTCACTGAGTATGTGAAATACCTGAGAAAGGACATTGTTTCTGTATGTTATTTGTTGTTGTTTTATTTCATTGTTACTATGAACCACTGTGGCTTTAACTGGTGCAGGTTCAGGCTTTCAGCAGTCAGCTTTTATGTTTTATTACCAAATCAATAATGAATGTACGTGAACATGTAATAACCAGCTATTTAATTAATGTGCTCAACACTGTGAGACTAGAGATGAGTAAAATCTATACTCTTTTTAGAAAAAGAATTTAGAATACAAGAAAATCTCTTGCAGACTCCTTTTCTCTGATTTTTAACATCATAATCAGATCAGTGATTCAAAGTAGTAATTGATTTCCACCTCAGATCTTTTCTGAAAAGGCAGTATATCTAGAGAATAATGGTGAATATTAATGGCAATAAATATGCATTCTTAAAAGTAGAACTTTATTTACAATGAAATGCTGATAATGATAACTTTCCTCAGGGAACACCAGCAAAAATGAAGGTGGTGTTATAGCTCTAATATAAAGATGTTTGCATCTGGCTGTTGTTAAGGACACATGTAGTTCAATGAAGACAGTGGGACCATTTATTTGTTTAATATTAATTATATAAAGGGTTTGCCAGATTTTGGTCTTTGTCACTGTGTGCTAAAATCTCCCCGGTTTGAAAACATGAAAACTAGAAGATAGGTGCCAGGAGACGTGGGTGTTTTTTCTGTAAGACGTTGAGTAATTCATGTCCCCTTTCTGAGCGCAATTTCTATCTGGGTAAAAGTGCTTCCTGTTTTTGGTGTGCAAAATATTCTGCATCTGAAAATCCAATCCAGTTAAAAAAAAAAAAAAAAAAAAAAGCTAATGTTTTCAAGTAAAGTAATGCTTATCATTACTATGGTAATATCATCTTTATCTGCCTCTCAGAGGTAAGTACTCTTTTGTTAAATGGGTGGTATACAGAAGGTCTCCAGGCAAAGGATCATGTTTCATTCTTTTCCCTTCTATAATTTTAGCTGTCTCCCTATTTGACTAAGATAGCACCTAGTGCTTTTGGATAGATCTGCGGCTCAGGACTAGTGTCAATCAAATGATATTCACAAACAGTTTATTCGCAATATTGCCAAATTTTATCTTTTTTTTTTTTTTCTTTTTTACATGTGATACCAGCTCTTCCCAAGTCAGAATAATATCAAGGTTTTTTAATAAGTTTGTTTTCGCCATTGCTCTGAAAGCCTTACTCATGATGCAAAAAGGTAGAATTCCCAAAGAGAAAGGAAAAAAATAAACATGCTAGTAAGACATATTGGATTAGTGATCAAAATTTTCTACTCTTTAGTCTTTGCATTTATAAGCAATTCACCAGCACACCAAGTTCCATTGATAAGAACATAATATACATCCCTGCTTGTATGGTGACAAGTATCTTACTGTGCAAGCCATTTCTCTGATTTTTTTAAGCATTTTTGCAAGACACTTTGCTGTCATGTTTGCCATCTCTTATGAAGGAGATGGAGAGAATTGGACCCAAAGTATGCAAACAATTCCAGCATATTTTTTGCAAAGTCTACTTACTGTTCTTTTGGCTTCCATCACCATGTACAGAGCAAATTGATTACCAGTTGTTCTGTCTCCATTGTACTTCTTCAGTGCTGTGTCAACAGCTTCCAAGACATCGGGATCATCGCAGTCTGAAAACTCAAATGGAAGAGGGGTGGCTCTGCTAGAAAAAAAACTACAACAGAGCACTAGCACAACGAAAGGTTTCATAACTGGTCCAAACAGCCCCCTGAATTAGGGGATTCTCTGAAAAGCAAAGGGGAAAGGAATACTTGAGAGGGAGTTAGTAACCTCTTCTGTTTTTCAGGAGCGATAGCTAAGCAAACAGAACAAGTGGGTTATTGGGGTTGGTAGATTCTCGTCATATCCTGTTTATACTGCAAATAAACTTCTGAGTTTATCTAAACAAACTTTGTGTGGTAACCAGAATGACACTAAGGTTGTCCACCTGCCATCAAGATAACAGCCTAACTGGCTGCAGCTGGAGACAGGCTTGAACTCAGCAGCAGGGCCCTTGAGGAAAGAGGGAGAGCGTTTGTAGCTCTCTGGCTTCTGCTTTTTTTTTTGTTTGTTTTTTTAACATCAAAACTGCTACTCAGAATAAATTTTAGAAATCTTAAATAAAACACCCAAGAAGGTCACCGTGGTAATGAAGTTCTGGTTCTGGACAGCAGCACTGTAAATTTTATAGATCTGTTTAGTGTTCAGATTGCAAGAGTTCTGGAAAGTCAGAACATGTTTGAAAAATATTTTTGCACGGGTGTGTATCATTGAGTGTCACATAACTCTTCAATAGCACTTGATAATCCTTGTGCTTCACCCTGTGACTGGAAGTGTCTGTCCTTGTCTGGAGACTGGACCATGAGTTAGTCCATCTTCATAATGTTTTGCTTTCATAATATAGACGAGAAAAGAGAGGTACTCTAGTACCTCTAGAAGGGAGGTACTAGAGGTACTCTAGTACCTCTAGAAGGGAGTAACTAATGTCAATGTTACCTATGTCTGGCAGAGCCAGAATTAGAACTGCTTGGTAACATCTAGCACCTGTCTGCAGTGTTGAGCACCAGGTAATTTTATTTTGAATCCACTGGAAATGCCTCAGCTCTAGTGTTCCAGCTGTGTCTCACTAGAAGTTTTGGTTAAATTCTTATATTTAATTACAGGACAAAAATGCTACTCTGTTTAAAAAATAGTCTGTGAAGACTTTGTGGTTAAGCAGTGCCAGAAATAGTTGTTCATGCATACCCTTTTAAAAAATTAGATAACCTTCACTCAGTTACACAAAATGCTGTTCCCATTTTATTTCTTTTTTTTTCCAGTGCAGCCTTCACACCTTATTTTACTTTATGCTATTAAAAAACTGCTTTGGAGACCAAATAACTAATTGTTTGATCAATCCCGTGTTCCTGCCTATGAGATAGCTGATCTGAACTGACTGGGATCCCAGCTCTGTCTGAACAGTCCTTATCTTGATAGGGGCTACAGTGAAAAGAAACAACAGGATTCCTTCTTCCTGCTTCCTCTTCCCCTCCCCAACTCAATTTCCACTGAGGAAAGTTCAGTGATAAACACTTACCTGAAACAGTTATTACAGGTCTCTGCTTTTCCCTCCCTGAAAACACTTATGAGGTATTTGAAATGTGCTGTCCCTGAATGCACTGGTATAGCTCCACCAGCAGTTGTAGCAATGGAAGTTCCTATGCAGGTCACCCCCTAATGTTATGTTTCCAGTCATTAATTCTGGTCAGAGCTTTCTAGATAACCTGGTAACCCAACCATCATTAGTCCGTTTGTGCTAGAGTATGCCTCATGGGCGCTCACTGTGCAGCTAAACATCCAAAATAACAAAAAAGGACACAAATATGGTAACTGTGTCGAGAAAAAACAAATATTTACGTATTTTTATTTTCTTTGAATCTTTATAACAGTGCAAATATAGCGCTGACTTATCCACGGATAGGGGACAGTGTAGGTAACAGAAAGGCATGCCTCCAGCATGATGTCCTTCCACTGTGCTTCCGTGCCAGCTGAAGAGTCTTTGTCCAGAGATAAAATGAGTAGGGGGAAGTTCCATTTTCTTGCTATTCAGTACTTGCAGAAATTCAGAAATGCAGATCATAGGAGCAGAGGAACTTGGACCATTTTTTGTGGAAGGTGGTCACATTTTCTCTAGGTTGTTATATATAGACGTCTTTCTACCTTGTGGTCAGAATTTTCATTTATTGCAGTTTTAGATGGACTGAGATCTAATCATGCAAAATCCTGTCTCGCTTATTCTTTATGGGATACTCTGCAATGCATGTGGTTTAATGAGGAGGTCTAATCTGGAAGCAATTTTTACCTGTTGGCCAAGAATGATACCTGTAGGAGAATGCATGTTGACCTTTATTGCTTGGAATGAGTGGATTATTACAAACAATATAGTAAATATGTACAGAGAAATATCTTAGAAGCTATGAGAAAATGGAAGATACTAGATGGTGGTTTTCATTATTGGAGAATTTTCCTTTTTGTTAGAACTAGAGGTGCATTGTTTACAAGGGAGATTTGCACCCGTTCACATGAGTTAAGGGTGTCAGAATTTTGATCCTTTCAGTTACAGTGGAGACTGAGATAGCTGGAATCAGGAGGCAGGTTCGAATACTTGTCTTAATTGTGATTATATTCAGTGCTTCTCACTCCCTAGAAATTGCACACTTTTCCCCCTCCACTGCATGCTGTTTTTGTTCATTGTACAACTGTCATCTGTCCTCCAACTCTCAAGCCAAAAACACCTTCCTTCAAGGTCATTTAGGAGAAGTTTCTGCCATGGATCTATGTGGAAATAAAGGCAAAATTTGGGGCAGATGAAGTCTGGGTTTTCCTGGGCATGATTTTGATTGAGAAGGATGATAGGGAAAATGATGATTTCCTGATGTCTTCTCTAGATTTGAACTAGTAAAGGGAGTACCCTCACCAGTGCTGGAGAAGTGATGGCCACTTTGGGATAGGAACTCAAGAAAGTTCGCAGTGGGAAGTGTGAGAGAGTCCTGCCGATTTAGAACTGGAATGCGATAGACAGCTCCTATTATTTGGGATGGGAAGTGCTTTCCTGGTGGGCTTGTCTTGTTGCAGTGACGTTTGTAATAGTGATGATGAGGATAAGGAGGGTGTCCTGGAGGAGGAGGAGGGGGGTAAGGTGGTCCATGATGGTGGGGAGGAGGAGGGCAGTGTGGTCCATGGTGGGGAGGAGGAGGATGAGGATGTGGTCCATGATGGTGGGGAGGAAGAGGAGGAGGGCAGTGTGGTCCATGGTGGGGTGGAGGAGGGCAGTGTGGTCTATGGGGGTAATGTGGTCCATGATGGTGGGGAGGAGGAGGGCAGTGTGGTCCATGGTGGGGAGGAGGAGGATGAGGATGTGGTCCATGATGGTGGGGAGGAGGAGGGCAGTGTGGTCCATGGTGGGGAGGAGGAGGATGAGGATGTGGTCCATGATGGTGGAGAGCAGGATGAGAACAATGTGGTCGATGGTGGGGAGGAAGAGGGGGGTGATGTTGTTCCTCTTGGGGAGGAGGAGGAATGTGTGGTTCATCATCGGGACGAGGGGGAGGGAGGTGATGTGCTTCCTCTTGGGTAGGAGGAAGATGGAGATGGTGTGGCGGATGATGGTGGTGATGTTCCCCACCTTGATGGGGGGGAGGAGGAGGTCCTTCGTGGCTGCCTTGGTGTTCTTCATTGAAATCGTGGTGATGCTCAGAGTCTTCAGGTATGAAGCGAGGAGGAGGTGGAGAGCTATGCTTGTGATGATACCTGTGACCAAAACGATGATGGGGATGGGGATGCCTGTGTGGCTGATGTAGAGGTGGATATCTGCATTTTTGTCCATAGTGACGCTGCTGTTTATAGAAACACCAGGGAAAGAAGTAGTGAGAGAGATGTTACTATAACAGAAGAAGGTAGTGAGAGAGAGAGGTGAGAGTTATGTAGGTTCACATGTATAGTTTCAATGATTTTTAAGGAAAAGGAACTGTATGGTTTTCAGGATAGAAGAGGAGTAGGTGGTGTAATGCCAATTTACTGAAAAGCATCTGGAAATAATAAACAATAACAAAGTGAAATAACCAGTTGGCCAGAATTTGTGATGGACTGAAACACAGCAAACAATGCTGTAGCTGTAGTAATGTAAATTGGAATACCAAATATGATAAAGGAAACCTTAATTTTCCTTGCAGATATGTCTTCTAGCTCTAATGTTGATAATGTTAGCAATGGTACAGCTCATTATCAAAATGTTTATTCAGAGCCTGATTTTTTTTACATCCAGAGACCTTTATACCAATTCAGCAATATAAAGAGGCTTAACAAAGTATATATAATATAATATATTGTATATATTACAATATATAATATTGTATATAATATATAATAGATTGTGTAAAGTGGCCCAGTCAATTCTTTCCTTTTCCTTCTTACTTCTGTCTTATTTCTGCTTATTTTTGGCTGGGAATATATAAATATTTATTAAGGTTTTATGATAAATTCATCTTTGGTTGATAGAGCTTTTTTGGCATGGATTCCCTAGCTGCTTCCTGAAACTAGCTGAAAAGCGTTGGTACGTTATAGCTCATCTGTCCACTTCTTCAGGTAACTCGCAGCATTCACAGGGGCAGATATGGGACAGTATCTCTTTATGGAAATGGAGGTAATAGATGTGAGAGATGGTGTTCACTTTGCCAGGTGGGAAAACAGAATGAGCATGTTCATCTTTAGAGTTCAAAATGTGAGCATTTCATGCACATGCATTTCACTTATTCTTAGGTCAAGGATTAAACTTTCAAATCTGGTTTCCTAAGGATGGGAAACTCGCACGGTTGTCCTCCGTCTCTGCTTTTGTCTGTCAATATCTCATCTCCTCTTGCTTTCTAAAATTATTTTTGAACTTATTTGCTAATCTCTACTCACTTTAACTAAGTAGTGCGGATGGGTAGAGGGAAGACACCCTTCAAGGGAGCAGCAGGGGCAGCTCAGTTCTCATTCATCCTCTTTGATTGATCTAATAGTCAACGGCAGTCTGTCCTCATCTGCTGCATCTTACCCAGGCAGTAACAAAGAGGCATAAGCAACTTTTGCCATCTTTTGTCAGGCTGGGCTGAGTGCATTAAAGGTTGCAGTAGCTTGGGTTAGAATATAGGCAGAGACTTTTCTGTAATTGATTACATACCCAGGGATGGTAGAGTTCACAGTTTATATCAGTTCCATTAGATTCTTCTGAAGCACTAATTGTTGCATGGCAGAATCCCACTTGCTAAGCAAAACAAAAGGAAAAAACAATGCACATTTGGATTCTTATGATGGGGTTATAAAAGCTGCTGAAAGTTCAGCATTTTAAAAGTTAGGCTAGTTCATATGGTACCTAAGTATGTTTGCATAACCTAGCTAGATTCTGAGCTTTCTGACCAGTGATACTTGCCCTCTAACTAGTGATTAAGATATATGCTATTTCTGGGTGTTACTGACTGTGAAGATGACTTCCTCATGTGTATCTAGAGGGCTATTATTCTGCGTCTTATTTCTGTTTGGATGTTCACAAGAAATTGGTCAGCTATCAATGCCTCCAAAAAAAAAAAAGAACCCCATGGAGGATTCATTCTCTTTCTTCTGTCTTTGGTTGTTAAACATCTGTTTAGATTGGGCTATTCTGAAATTTTGCTCAAAGTCCTTGATGACAGACACTGTGTAGCTATGCCATTTGACGAGAAGCTCAAGACAGAGCTTTTTTCCACATTTCTTTTTTGAGAAGTAATTTACTGCAACCTTTTAGCATTACTTTTCTTAGCATCCTGTCTGCAGTGACTTTGGCCTACTGTCCAGTCTTTGTGGGTGGAACTGCTCTCTGCTTGCTCTCCGTGCTCTTACTTTTGTATGTGGAATAGTGACCCCATGGAGTGTGCTCTCCTGTTTCGGAAGCACAATCCTGTTATGAAATAGGGAGTGTGAAGCCTGTCACCTCCTTATTCATATATGGGATTACAGAACTCAGAGCTAATCAGTTCTATGTAAGTTCTCTGCAGCAGGAGCTTTATCTTGATATATATTTGGGCAATTAGTAGCCTATTGTGAAAACTGGTTACAAATGTAACAGCATGTTATGCATGTAGCAGCAGGGACAGCAATGAGAACAAAAATCAAAACCTCTGGTTACCTGGCTTGTGCTTCATTCTAATGAACTTTTGGCTCTGCTACTAACCCATTAACAACTTTTTCCAATCTTCTGGAGTATATAGAGCCAGAGAAGGAAAATGATTGTGGATAAAATGATAGTTCTACAGTTTTTTTTCTTTTTTTTCCCCATTCCTTCTATTTTGTTTCTGGGAACAATTTATTTTGCTTTGGTGACTCTGCCTAGTAGTTTCTATCGTGTAGACTATTATTAGGAAGAGGTGGGATGAGGAGAGTACTTTGATAATAATCTGTAGACAAGCCTGAATCATTGAACCCTCCATTTCCCTGCAGCAGAGGAAAAAAAAAAAAGAAAAAAGAATCCCTGGACTCATGGGGATGAGATAATACACATATTTCATTAAAGATCTATAAGTCAAATCAGTGTAAAAGTTTTTGTAAAAGTAGCGCTATTAATTTACTAGGGAATGGTCACAGTTTGAATGTGAAAGCAAGATACAAAGAATTCAAATCTAGATCTGGAATATCCCAGAATCCAATTACATTTAGATTTGAGAGTTCAGATTGGCTCCTTACAGAAGACAAAGGAGCAGCTGTGAAATTAGGATCTGGTCTTGGACATGCTGGATTTTAAATTTTGAGTTTGGATACATGCTTTATAAGAAGCACTTGGAAATATCGTGGGAAGATCTTTCTGGTGCCACCCGTTGTACCAGTTCTCACTCTAAGACTTTACTTACAGCGTGCCAGTCATCTAGAAAATCACATTCCAATTGCATATCTGTATGTTGTGCAGATTTGGAACAGTTGGTCTCTTTTATGGAGAATTCTAAAATGTGACCTTCACTGGAGCCAGTCTGAAATAAAGAGGTCAAACAAGCAGTGATTACTAGGTGTATTTAAAGAAAAACTCCTGTAATTTTGAAAGCAATAATATTTCATGCTGTTATCAAAATCCTGTCTACCTCATCCATTCATTACCTGTGCTTTTTAAATGTTCATACACATGTATGAACACATAGCAAATAAGGAAAATGGATTCGGTAATTTATGCCGTACTTGCCTCACTCCTTTATCAGTTCTGGGAATGGTTGCTTTACATCTTTGTCTAGTTTGTTGTATGTTATAAAACCTGTGACTGTTACGGCCTGTGTTTTTAGGAAGTAGGGTGTGTAGAGTCTTTGCCTTAAGTTGAATTGCTGCTCCTGTGAAAGCAGAGGGATCTACTGAATGGGAACCATTCCATTCCAGTGGTGGGAGCATAGTACTACGGAAGTGCTGATGTTAATTTAGGATAAGATTCTGCCAGTTTCTTTGAGGCTGTTGCTTTCTCTTTTGTCAGTGGCATTACTCATAAAGAGGGCATTACTCCATATGACTGGGGAGAAGGCCTTTATGATCCTATTAGAATCCAAAGAGGGGTGTTCCATTTTAATTTTCAACTGTTAACAGCAGTTTATTTCATGTCAGTACTGAAAGCGCCCACAGCTAAGGGCATATATGCGCACACAAGTTTCGCTGATTTAACTACATGGGTTAGAAGTGGGTGCACATACTTGGTTGTACACTTTTATGTTGGAAGTCATAGTTTCCAAGTGTTATGCAATCCATTGAAATCTAATGGTACAATCTTAATTCTCAATGTAGCTAAAGCTGGAGAAGTACGAAGATTCCATTTGCAAAAAATGTGGCCTAGGAAGAAATCTATGAATCCCAGCAATCTGAGAACAGCCATGGGCTGAATGAAAATGGGGATATATCCTGGGTGGAGCTACAGTCTAGAACGCTGTCAACTTTCTGAATAGTATTGTGAGCTGCAGGAAGGTGGGGTTGAGCTGGTGTCATGTCGATAGTTTCCCAGAACCGCATGTGTTATGGCAGAAGCCATGGGACCTCATTACAGAGGTGTCCTGAACTGACACGTGTGCTGACAGAAGGTCTCCAAAATCTATCAGCAAGAAATTTTGGTCGTGTGAGAGTTACTGCTTCAAATCACCCGTAGGATAAGTCTTCGTGTCGACATCACTGAAAGGTGGAAGAGGAGTTATTTACCAGAGCCGGTAGTTCTTCAAGAAGTACAGCACAGATAGATTGATTTCCTGTCCTTCAGAGCCCTAGGAATGTTGCTTTGCACTGCAGTTGAGAGAGAGTCAAAATAATACTGAGCATGTTCCACTTCATGTTGTACCCAAATATTCCAAAGTAAAAAATTATCTGGCTTCAGCTGACAGAGAGTGTATGACTGTGATCATATACATGGACTATACATCTTGAAGGACTCCGATCAGTAGTAAATAAACTCTTGTATGTTATGATATGTTGGATAAATATGCGTACAACATAAAAATACGACTACAAAAAAGGCTCTGACATTTTGACTGCTATAGTTTCAAGCAGATGAGAAATCCCTTGGCTTTCACATGTTTAAATTAATGTTTTGCAAAGTAAGTTTTTGCAGAAGCAGAACCATAAACTTTAAGCAGATGATTTATGCTGAGAGGCTGCAAGCACTAGTTTTGATTCTAGAAGGGTTTGAGTTCTGGGCCCATAGTTGTGGAGCTACTTACAAAATTTTGTCCTTTATAAACAGTTATAGGGCCAAATGTCACTTACCATCTGTAAAATTTTTTCAACTTTGTCCACGTTGAAGTAGTTTGTGTGGTTACCTTCACTATTGTATTTTTCCAAGGCCTTTGCAGCAATATCTTTGTGTTGCACAGTGACTTCTAAGACTTCAACTTTTATAGGACAGTCGTTGCACTCTAGTAAATCTGGAGGAACTATGAAAACAGAGAAGTTACTAATACTGGAATGGATATGAATACCTGTATGAGTAGAACTCTGCACAGGTATCTTTAATGTGAACTCATAATGAGAAACTGAAATGTCAAGAGTTTCCTTAGAAGTGAAATACCTGTCATTCACTCTGAAAATATGAGTTTGTCCAGTCATGTGAAGAAAAGGCAGCTATGAAAATGTATATGCTGTATACAGTATATATGTACACATGCTGTATGCACATACTGTATATAATATATAATGTATAAATCTTTCTGCTCTGTCTTAGAATTCTACTGGCCCAAATAGGCTTTCTTTCCAAGTTTACCTTTTTTCTCATATTCATTGTTATGTTTTGGTGGACTGGAGTGGTGATATGATTTGACATCAATGCAGTTTGCTTTTGGAGAGTAAGATAACCTTTAATTCTATTATTCATTCTTAATATTTCATTTTAATTATATAAAATATAAATTGCAAACATATGAATGAATCTGTTACAGTTACCATCTACTAAGAGCACACAAAGTTGTACTTCAGCGCTAGGGCTGGTGTGAGGTATGCAGTAGATTACAACAGTGGTTCTCTTACCTGGACTTACTGTACAATTAAATCCATAGAGTTGATGTTTTTTTTTCAGCAGCTGGCTTGTATATGTGATAATCTTACATTGCCCAAAGACCTGAGAGGGAAAAAGAATATGTGGCTATGAGCTGTTTTTCACTAGTTTTGATTGGATGTTACTGATCATAGAAATTATACCTCCTTTTTATGTGCAGTATTTCTAAGGATAACAGATGTGATCATTAATGGAATGTTTGATCTGGTACCACCCAAAATTTCTATTTCAGATAAAATGGGATCTCCTTCTACAAGAGCCTTTGTTTTAATTGTCAGTTTTATTACTGAATAGACCATGGAAAACTAAAACAGCCTTCTCAGTCATTCTAATACTTATTTATAGTAAGATAACATTAGCTAGCAAGGGAAGGTAGGAGGCCATAAATACTCAAAGATTACATTAAACATTGTGAAAAAGTTCCTTCTTCCGTTCCTCCTCCCCATCTTAATAAAAAGAGAAAACATCTTCTCTGCTATGTGGCCTTCATGCTTTGTTCTGTGTGGTAGTTTCACCACTCTCTATTTAAATAGCATTTTGGACAGGTAATTCTCATCCCAGAGCACACCATTGCAATGCAAAATAAAGGACAAGTATTACTACATATCCTATGTCTACTGACACTATTAATATTTTATACTGTCATATCACAAATTCCTTAACAAAAAACTGACAAAATATAACCCTGGCATTTCTGTCTAATATAATAGGAACATGAGTTTAAAAAATCATTTCTAGTGCCCTTTTAGTTATCAGCAAATTATTCTTAAAACATCAGTTCTATTACCAGTAGTGGAATATGGAATATAGCTCCTTTGACAGAACTAGTTAAAATGAAGTTGTCTTGTCTTGTTTGACAAGACCAGTCGACCCTTTTCCAAACCTTTTGCTTGTTTAACAACTTAAGGATCCAGTAGATTTTATTATACAATGATGCATTTTAAACCCTGACCTCTACTTAGAGATTTTGTGCCACATGAATTTCTTGGCCGTTCAGATGAAGATCAAGTCTGTGCTAATGCATTATTGACATATAGTTCTGCCTGGATACTATTACTTGCCAGGGAATATGTATCGCTGTATTCACAAGCCTCCCAACGTCTTCCAGATAATACTGAGCATTTGGTTTCCAGCACATCCAAAGTTAAGTAAAGGATTGATGAATATCCCTGGAAGAGAAGTACAGGTGAACAAAACATTTGAATACAAGAATCCTGGTCTGAAAGAAAGTTTCTTACAAGTAGATATGCTTAATCTTTAATGTAGCTTCCCCAGTTCCTTATTAAGGTTTTACTGAGCTGACAAGCATAGATTCATAGAATGATTTAGGCGAGAGAGACCTTTGGAGGTCGTCTTGTCCAGCCACCTGCTCAAGGCAAAGCTAACTTCAAAGCTAGATCAAGTTGCTCCGGGCCTCGTCCATCTGAGTTGTATATATCTCCAAAGACGGCTGTTTCACATCCCCTCTAGGCAGTTCCCAGTACTTTGTGACTGTCACTCTCTTTTTTTTCCCGTGTCTCTAGTCCGAATTTCCCTTCCTGCAACTTATGACTGTTGCCTCCTGTCATTTTGTTGTGAGTCTGTGAGAAGAGTCTGCTGTCAATCTGGCATGCATCATCTAGGGAAAATGCCAATGTTGAAAAATTGCCATTCCCTACTAATTTTTGCATTGCATGTATTAGTTTATTTGCAACCCCTACTCCAGACAGCCCATTCTATAGATACATCCATTCCAAATGAGATAAATGAGCAGATACTCTCTCAGAGATTTGTTTCCTGCCCAGTTTATTCAGGGAGTGACACAACAAAACTGTAATAACCCCTACAAAGTCAGGAGCCTTAGCTCTGCGGTGCTTCTAGTATATTCTGCCACCGGAGTGCATAGGATGAGGAATCAGAATTTGAATTTGGCCGCCAGGATAGCAGGATGTGCTGTTAGGATTTATCAGTGGCCCACAGAAACAGTCTGAAATTAATACTTAGGTCTTGCATTTTTCTGCAGAAAAATGAATCTTATTTAACATTTGGAATGGATTAGTTAATGGATTCACGCAACTCCATTATGGACCTTTCTCCCTTCCTTTCAGTTAGCCAACTGTATCCAAAGTTAAGGTAATAACAAAAAACCTATCTTGCAGGATACATTGATCTGATTAATGTTAGATACTCTCAGATTAAAGAACTCTCTGAATGTAAAGTGGGAACATAACACCTGAGACCTGAAAACAGATCTGACAGATTAATTTCAGGTATTGTATAAAGCTGTTCAGAACATTTCTTCTGCTGATGTCCTGTCCTCCATAAGAACGGAGGACATTCAGCATCCTGTGGAGTCAGGCTTACATACAATAAATCATGCACAAGTTAATACTGAGATAGTGTAAATCAGAGCTGGGTCATTGAATTACATCAGCATTGCTCTGTTAAAGGCAGTAAGGCATAAACTTTTAACAATCTGGCTCATTATTTTAAAATCTGTGTTGTGTAAATCAGCCTTTAAATTGGTACTTACTATATGTTGCTCATGTGCGCCAACAACACGCAATAAACCAAAAACGTAGCCATCTCTGCGATGTCTGTTGACCAAATCCAGGGCCACTGCTGCCTCTATTTCAACAGTATCACAGTCTGCAGGGGTAATACTTGTTTCATTTTGGGCAGTAGAGCACTGCAGTAGTGTTAGAAAAAGAGCTGAAGCTAAAAGCTGCATTTTGTTTGTAGTGTTAGGTCACTTCTGTCTGTGCTCTGATAAACCAGTAGTCTGCTTTTAAATCAGAGTAGCCCACAAAAGAAGTTATAAATGAATGCTGAAAGGGCATGGTTTTATATAAATTTAAGTGCTGTGTCACTAGGCTATTACCTTGACCCTGGATTAATGTTTGTAAACAGAAGGTAAATGATTATATGGCGATTGAGCAAATTTTGAGAGACGTACCCTCTGGACCACCCATCAAAGGAACTACTTTTGTGATTCTTAAAGCAGGCATTGTGTAATACAGTGTTTTACTGTGAAGACTGTTTAGCTTCCAACGATGTGCTGCTGAGCATGGTATTATGAAGGTCCAGGTTACGCATGCAGGTGTTATGCAATCTTGGTTTCTGTTTTCTGTAAAAATAGTTGAATTGTAAACATGCTGAAATATCTGGGATCATATGATGGCTATGTCCATATCCCTGTTTTTAGAGATCCTTAACTAGCAGAGAACCAGTGAAAGGGAAGCAAAGGGATCACTCAGATTTGGAAACAGGATTTAGCTCAGGATGCCCTTGCAAGCTGATGGTCCGTAGCTTCTGTGTGAGCCTGATAGTCCTGGTCATTGACAAAATTTAGAGCAGATTTCTATCAGCTTTATGTGATTTCAGAATGGTAGGTAATGTAGGAGTAAACATGGCATAAAGTGACATAAAGCTGCCTCTGCACTCTTTATCTGAGTGGTTCTGCGTGGTCTTTGCCTCTAATAGTCTTCAAAGAGTTCATCAGAGAATTTCTGATAATTTTTCAGTATTGATTAAGATAATTCACTACACCCCAAGATTTGTACCTTTCACAGGATAAATATTTCTGTTAAGCAGAAAGGAGAGGCTGTTGTCTCATTTTATTCAAAATCTTTCACCCAAGTTAGTTTAAAACATTAAAAGGCGGTAATCACTTGTCAGGGAATGGCTGAAATTCAAATACACAATACAGCTTCTCCGAATAAAAAAATAAAAAACCAAATATGTGGGCCAAAAATGAAAAAGCCACATTCAGATGAGAAATTTTGCAAATCACCTGATTGGTGTGAGAGGTTGGATCAGCTTCTTATAGAAAAAGATACTGGCTATATAATTGATTAGGGTTTATGCATTTGACTTTGAAGTTTTAGGTTACTTATTTTTTGGAGAAACATTGGGAAGTATCATGGGAAATCACCCTTAACTGTACCTCACTACATTAGTCCTTATTCCAAAAAAATGACTTTTAACGTGTCTGTCTTCTAAAAAATCACATTCAAACGCAAGTGAAGCTGAAGCTGTGGCTTTCTTTTACAGTTAATTCCATTTACACTCGACAGATCTTTGGTGGTATATAAGCTGAAGGGGGAGTCTCACAATATGGTGCCTTGGGGTATTCAAAATTAGTGTAAGTCAGTTGAAAACGGATAAAATGTTGTAGTCTTCTGTGCAATGGGTAATGAGCTTCTGGCACTTGTTGCCGCAGAGGGATGTGGAGGCAGACAGTATCAGCCAGGTCAGAAACAGATTAGACAAATTCATGGACAACAAGTTCTTAAGTAAATACTGGAAGGACTAGGCAGAGAAGTACTCTAACACCCCCAGTACAATGGTTCTGGGTGCTGGAAAAAGAAAAGGTGAACGGATTGCAGAAAGGGGGCAGGCTCACAGGCTCCTCCTAACCACAACTTGCTTTTGCCACGATGAGAGCTGAATACTGGGCTGGAGGACCACTGATCTCATGAAGTAGGGCATTTCTTATGTTCATTATGTTTTTATGGTATTTCAGTGTAGTATTTCAGAAATATTTCTTCTGGAAGATTGAAAAAAGAGATGAAATAAACACTGCGTAAATAATCAAAGACATTTGAAATACATCTCAAGAGGAAAAAATAATATTCATATCATTGCTGTGTTCCAAATCCCGCCCTTCTCTGCATTCATTACTTACAATACTGTTTAACTTTTCAAATGGGCAGTCATATTGAAGAAAGGCATCAGATTAGGCAATTTATAACATAATTCTTGTAGTTGTCTACAGTTTGTGGATTGTTCTTTTTTTCTGTTCTGTGCTGTTCATCGTGACACAGATCATTTTCCTGGCAGTAGCTTATGTATTTTTGTGGATGAAATAGGAATACTGTGAATAAACAGTAAAAATGTATGATTCCTGGAAAAGTAGACACAAAAACGTACCCATCTTTAACCCCTCCCCAGAAGCCTGGGAAAACCCACCAAAAAGTGTCTGGTGCTCAGTGAGTTCATCTTCCCCACTTGAAAAACAATGCATTAAATGCTTCATAAATAGAATTTTATTCTAAGGAGAAAAGAAAAAGACAACTGACAAATTAAGGAGATAATATGCAATAACCAGTTATCCCTTTCCTAAAGTATACCCATAACTATTTACAGATATCCTCTCTGATTTCTTGGGAGTGCAGCTGCTAGGCTAGCTGGCTGGCTGTTCCTTACTCCCTGCAGCAGCACTTCACTCACAGACTGGGGCTATCAAATCCCATAGCTCATTCAAGTATTTTGCATGCTGGCAAGACCTTAACCATCCTGTAGCCTGTGCTGCTCTGCAGCTACTGTTGTTTCTGGTCCTTAGTAAGAGTTGGTGTTAACAAAGACACGTGTGGCCTCAGTTGCTTAAGGGAGACTTCTTTGCTAGTGTCTCTTTACTTTTTTTTAATCTGTGATGCCTCACAGCCTCAGACTAGGAAGGTCTACCTTTTCCACTGTGTTGCAAAACAAGTTTTCCACTTTTTCGGGTTGCTTTTAACAGAAATGTCCCCAAGTTTGAGGGAGCAACATATGTAAATACATCATGTCTTTGTTCATCTGCTCTTTTTATCTGTTAGGTGTAAACAGGTTGCCTTTTCCTTCTGGGCTCTCCTCCCTCTAGAGATTGTGGGTTCAGCTGCTTCCTCGTTCAGGCGTTGGCCACCAGGCTTATATCATTCTAGAGAGGTGAGAAATCCTTTGATCTTTGGTAGAAACATTCTCAGGGTAAACAGAATCTGAACCTTAGACAGAAAATAGAAGAATTGTGCTAAATGTTTGCAGGCAATAGTTTTAATCCTGTAAATTATTAAGTTGTTACTTCATACTACTAGCAGATGGCTTTTAATTCCCTGCAAGGCATTGCTTCCCTACAGGATGGACCTCTTCACAGTATGTAAAAAGCATTCTGGTCTGCTATTCCATCGTCCTTTGCAATGCTTTGAACTGTGGCTAAGGGTGGGTTATTTAGCAGAAGTTATCCAGGACCTTTGAGTTCGTCTTCTGTTTCATTGCACCATAACTTTTCCCTGCTTGGGTCACCTGTGTCACTTTTGAGCGTTGAGGAAGTCATTATTGCATTGTGTAATATTTGTAGACAGGAATGTGCAGCAGCTTGTACCCATCTATGCAGCACATTGCCAGGGATAGCTGCTGCTTATGAGACAAACACAGTTATATAAATTTGCTTTGGTTATGGTCTTTAAAGCAGCAGCAGCAGCTATAGCTTCCCCTCCTTGCCTGCAACTTCACTAAGAGAAGAGGGATTCCCAGAAGGATGAGGGTGACACTTTGAAAGACTTTTTTTCTTGTAACAACTTCACTATATTGCATAATGTGTGGTTGGATGACAGAGAATTGTACCACAAGACTAGGGTCACCAGGAATGGCTGCAGAAGTTCAGCATAACTCAAAGTTTCTTAGAGAACTCTGCGGTGCTTGCTCCGGAGTACAGCTGCAGCACTGTTTTATGAGATTTCCCTGGTGCACCCACAAACAAGGTCTGCAGGAGTTCATGGAGAGCAATTATCAGGAAGCTTGTTTTCACAAATGAAACCCTTTGCGTTATTAGCAGCAGCATTAATGAGGCCTGGTTTCTGTAGATGTGACATACATATCTGCAGTACACCTCCCTTCTCATTATTCCGAGTGCTCTGTGTTCTCAAGTCCCTTTACCCCTCTCTCATTCCTGCCTAATTCTCTCCTATGCCCCCTTATTTTTCACTGGGAAGTTGGCAGCACAAACTATGACTGATTTGGAGCTGTTCAGCTTGTCTGGCCAAGCATGTCTTGACTGGGTGGCTGCTGCAGCTCAGGGTAGATAAGGAGTTCTTTTATAATCTCTCCCTCTGTGAGGGCACTGTTTTGGACTTTTTCTTCTTTCCTAGTCACCAGTTTTTATGAAACTTTTAGGAGCTTCATAACTTTAAGATCTCTTCTTATCTCTCAAGTTTTGTTTAAACGGAACTAAAGTTGAAAAGCTATTTGGAGGAGACCAACTGACAAGTGAACAGGTTGAAAATGTAGTTACAAAAGTCACATTCCTTAGAATGCCTCCCAGAGCTAATACAGGGAATGAAAAGGGTATCAGCATTCCTTGTCTTATCCGCAACATCCTTGGCTGCAATTTGTTTCCTGGAGCATGCCACCATAATTATAAGTTGATGACCTTAAGGATATGTTGCAAGACTGGCCTGTTTGCTAAGGGACTTGAGAGGCTGGAGGAAGAGACAAGGAGAAGAGTTTGACGTTATGAGTGGGGTCAGAGGAAGTTCTAAGGGATTTGATTTTTATAGGCTTGTCTTGTTATGCTTTTCTTAAAATATAAGCTTGAAAATTGTGTTCATAAGTTGTAATAGAGTGACATGAGGAAAGTGTTGGCAACTCTTGTGATTTTATTGCATTTATGATTGTATCTAGAGAGAGCTCCTTAAAATCTACCTTTGAAATCAATACATTATAAGTGAATTACAGTTCTCATTAATGTGTGTAATCTCAGGGATGCAGAGAAAAATTTCAGCTTCGGAGTGTGTATAGCCAGCAGGTTCTGTATAGTCAGCAGAGTTAAACAGAGTCTAAAATAACTTATTTTATAAAACCTTTTCTTTTGAAACCCATCTTGAGATTTTTGAAGCCTGTTTTTTAAAGCCTTTGGGTTAACCAAGATGAGAGTAGAAGGGTAACTGAAAACTCTAAAGAAATGCTTAGCCAAACTATGTATAAATAAGCCCGTATATCTTATTCCTTATTCATCCAGCTTTGAATGTCACTGCCCAGTTCTTGCATTCCTGGTGCATAGTCTATAATCAGAGATAAATGCTTGATAATATCTGGTGAAAATGTCAACAGTCCTGGAGTTCGCTGACTTTTGGTTATCTGTGCCTGAATAAAAAACATTGTCCATGTGAAATTGCGATGTTTTCTTAAATAAACATCAGCCCAGATTTGAGATGGACAGTGCCCTAAAAGCAAGTTAATAATGGATGATATAATATCCTAAGATCACTACACATTGAAAGACTGTGAAATAAATTTGAAAAGTGAATCAGTAAGCACAAAATTTAGAGGCTGAAGTCATAGCACTGAGAGAGATGAAACCTCTGTTGATGTATGGACGTCATGGACTTTTTGTGGTTTCTTGACTGGGTAAATTTGTATTTTACTAAGATGTCACAAAATTCAACATTTTTGTACTGGAATTGGCTACTCTGTTTCTTCATTTGTTTCCCTCTGCTGCCTCTTACTCTTCTGCTTTTCCCATAAGGAACAGTTAATTGAATTACCCTACTCTGTAGGTAGCCAGGCTGCAAAGGGAGGAGGAGATGAAGCCACTGGGCCACCTGAGCTCAGGCAGGAACAGGAACCAGCCTTCATTGGTAGCCTCCAAGCTGCTCTAGAAAGCCAAGCAGTCATTGTGAGTTGAGCTGTATGTCTCTTTCTGGTATGCACAGACAGCATGTATTATTATGGAACCATCTAACTGTCATGAACAAAGGATTAAAACCTTGTTCCTTCAGGAGAAAACAGACTAAAAATTGCATTGTTTAATTAAAGTCAGCTATCAGGGAAAGCAGCAAATTGCAGGGCTTTGAGTGATTTTCTCCTTACTGTAGCTACAGACTCCGTGACTTGTGTCTATCAGAATCCACCCGCTTCTCATCCCCAGTGACTACAGGAAGAGCTCCTGTGCGTGACTGGCCTAATCTCTGCTGGATGAGGAGAAGCACTGCTCAGCAGTTCATAGCGCTAGGAGGATAAAAGAGCATTTGGGGTGTGACTGAGGGTACATAGAGTGTGTTGCTGCCAGCTGTTCTGCTCACTCAGGCCAGAGGTGGAGAGACCTGGCCAGAAGGTGGAGAGGTTCAACACTATCTAGGTATGATTTTTAAGCAGAGGATCGGCTGCGGTCTCGTCGATGTGTTTTTTGTCCGACAGTCTGCTGCCACTTAGAGTAAATGTGAGACCAGATCTGTTGCATCCCATTCCCTTGTCTGTCCATGTGGGCATGTTGGAGGGAGGAAGCCACAGTGCTGACCCACTCACAGATTGGTGTAGATCTGCTGGATCAGCAGGATTTGAAGTAGCGATGGCCAAAAACTGTCGGCTCTTAAGCACATCAATGCCATCTGGTACTGCTTTCATTCAGAACTGTGATACTGCCACAGTATCCAGGTATATCCTGAGGATGAGGGAAGCACAGAAACTATACATCTTCGGTCTCCTTTTTATACTGCAAGGAATTAGTCTGAAACACTAGCACCAGGCCTCACTTGTGGCAAACATGGGTGATGGCCTAGATGACACTGAAAGCTGGATACTGAAATCCCTGTGCAGGAGCTGGCCACAGGGAATAAAGAAAATGCTTATGAATCTACACTGACCAACATGGACATACTAAGCCTGTTCACAGCTAGCCTGCCATCCCCAAGAATGTGGAGGCTTGGGTGGAGGTGGATACTTTCATGCAGATTTTGTATAATATCTCAGGTAGACACCCCTGCTGCCGTACATTTTTAAATCATAAAAGTATTTGAACCCAAATCTCAGATACAGACTAAAGAAAGTACTGATTCAAATGTAATCTCTTGGCCCTGTCTGTGGAATAGTCTAAGCAACATCCAAACTAAGTGTTCAAAACTATGGATCCAGACTTTCAGATGTTCTTTTTAACTACCCCTGTTTATGTTCAGACGAAATTCACTCCATTTATTTCCACTTGCTGCTACTGCTGTTCAGTTTACCATTGTGAGCAGCTGCCATCCGAAAGGATGGACAAGGGATATTCTTGGTGGTAGCCAGCAGTTAATGAAGTTGATTTCTTCCCCAGTACTCCTTTTGGGGAAGACTCTGGTCTTCCGTATGTTGACGTGAATCTCAGTAGCGTCATTTACACAGACCAAGCCATGGTGACATTAGAATCAAGATGCAGACAGTTAATAGGCCACATACATTATAAAAAAGCAAAAGTGAAAGGGTACAGCGATCAACTGAAGAGAGGGAAAAAAGGCATTTTGGAAATTATTGAAGCATCGCAGGCTGTTTCCCCAGTGATCTTGTCCTTTGATTCATTATATGCAGTGACGCCTGGTATCTTTGATTCTAGCACGAGGCAGATCATCAGTCCGTGTGCAGGAAGGTAGAAATACTGGTCACGTTAGGGAAACCTGAGCTGGCAAATGTGAAACTTCATGAGAGAAAAAGCTGCTGAGATTTGATGCCTTGCTGAAAAGGGAAATGTTGACACAGCCTAGAGCTCATATTGTGTTAAGAACTGGACAGAATTTGAACTTTCTGGTTTTTGGAGAATTATATGTTTTTGAATTATTTTCCATCCTGAAATTGAATGAAAACAAAATATGTTGAAATTTCTCATGATATGGAATTAAAATGAAAAAAATGTTGGCTCAATTGATGTGTTTCATGTAGGTGAGGTCCTAACCTTTTGTGTTATTTCAGTCTTTGAAGTATTTCAGTTGCTCCTTTATATAAAAATTAGGCCCCAAAGAGTTTTGTGAAATAAAAAAAACTAGAATTGTTTTGAAAGCATCTCCATAGGATATTTCAATATAATTTTGTCTTTTTATTCATATTTTTATTTATAATACTAAAATAATACATTTTACCCAAATTATATATTTGCCAGAATATTTTAACTTGAGCAAACCCAGAATTTTTTGTTGAAAGACTCCAAGTGGAAAAATATCCAAGCGTCTCTAGTGATGACTCAGCAGCATAAAAACTTCAGAAACAATAAGATTTTGTTGATTTTCTTTTGAACAAGTGATTCATACAGGTCTACTTGTAACTGGAGAAAGGATCTGTGGCCTCATCTAGGTCCCATGCTCTTTCTTCTTCTTCTTCTTGTCTTCTCTTTTATTTATATTTGTTATTGTCAGTACGCTGCTATGTCTGGCTTTAGTGAAATTGATTTATCTTAGCCTAGGATGTAGAGTGTCCCTGTGTTTTTTATTATAAAGCAGTTGGTTAATATGACCTATCTCAAGAAAGCATTAGTCTGATTTTGTAAATTGTCATTTTACCTGCACAGCAGGGTTAGTAAAGCAGACGAATCTGAGTAGCTTGGGGCTTGGTTCTCCACCAGCCAGAATCAAGTGCAGAGGGTTCACATGCTGGCAAGTGGGTAGCCTTCTCCACTTGCTTTGTGTAAGTGAGCATGTAAAGCGTTAGGGAATAAACAATATTTCTTGAGAAGTTCCAGGCAGGATAAGAGATGCATGGGATTTCCACGGGAAATAAAAATATACTAAGCTCATCTCATTATCATTGAGATGTTAGCCCAGAAAACAGTAGAAGAACCCTAGCTTCTAATGCTAAATAATATTGAAGTCTTCTTCCCCATTTTATACACTGTTGCACTGGGCTTGACTTTGTAAGGGTCCTGAGAGCATCCCCCTCCTGGAGGTTTGGCTGCCAGGGCTTAGGGCCAGCTTAATGATAACATTGCCTTGCTGCCCTTGGAGAGAGGCTACCAGACAGTGCTGCAGGGATGCCACAGCCTGGGCCAATCCCCCTTCCCGTGGGAGCTGCTTTAAGCTAAAGTGCCAGCATTTGGCCCCGGCCAGAGCTACAGCTCCTGCTGTGTCGCAGCCATGCGTGTGCCTGGCTATGGGCCCTGTTGATCTGGACCTAGACTCAGACCTGTAGTCTGACTTCCCAGACTGAACTTGGACCTGCCTTGTCACTGTGGACCTGCTTGGTGACCACTGGGCTGTGTCTGATCCTGGTTACCTTCACCAGTAATCACCTGATCCTGACCTTGTCTTGCTAACTCATGTTCCCAGCTTGACCTCGAACCTACCTCATCACCAGGGACTTATCTAATGGTCTAGACTCTTGGCTGCACCTGCCTACAATTCCTGGGTCTGCCCTGCTTGCCTTGCTTGGGTACAATGAGATGGGGCCCTACCTGGCAAGGCCCCTGCCCTGCCAGGCTCGTTATCATGTTCGGCTCCCAGCTCCCCGTCCTTTAGGGAGCAGCTGGTCCTTGCTGCTTCCTGGCAGACTTTTGCTCTTGAGAACGTTTTCTTCTGGTGCCTTTGGGCTGTCTTGGCCCTGCAAGTGCGTTTCCCCTCTGCAGTTACCATTCCTTCATGCTCTTACTGATGGGAGGAAATTGAGAATTAAACTACAAATTCTTTTGTTGGAAAATGCCTCAATTAAATTTCTTTCTGTAATCTATCCCTGTGCTTTCTTACAGCTGAGAATGCCAAAGATGAAGAGTGTAGTGAGCTTTTTCTTTCTTTTTTTTTTTTATTTTGAGATGTTACACAAATGGGAAGACCACCCTGTCACTGTGACCATCATTTTATTGCAGTGGTTGAGGGGACTTGGATGCTGGCTGGTCTTTGGTAGGCTTTCTAGCCTGTAAAGGCTCAAGAGTGGAATCTGTCTCCTTTGCTTTTCCTGGGCATGTGTCTGATAGTGAAAATTCTTCAGGGAAAGGGAGAATAACTGGTCCAGTCACTGATGTGGTCAAATCTGGTTTGTCTACTTGAATCTTTTCTCCATCAGGATTGCCAAAGGTATCTGGAAGGCTGCTGGGCATAGGTCCTGCTGCCTCAGATGGAACTGGCTTTCCATCTGTGTGTTCATTTTGACTTTCTGGTACGTTTTGGCAAGAGGTGTCCTCAGTTGAAGGGGGAAGAATTTTAACCCAGCCCACTGTTTTTTCTAGATAGGGAGAGAGAGGGTTGGCCTCTGAAGGGAAAGCTTCTTGATGCCTCTGGCTGGATCGTCCAAGTCTCTGGTTAGTTTGCTGCTTCCCTTCTTCAGTGACAGGAGCCTAAAATAACAGGCAATAAACATCACCTATATTGAAGTTATTACAAAATCTTTCCGATGTGGTCATTCTTCATACTTGGAATCTGCTGCAATTCTAGTCTTCAAAGACCAGCTGCAGAACAGAAACTCCCAGGATAGACAGATAGAACTACCTCTCATTCCAGTGGAGATGAGTGCATGAAACTGGGTAACTACAGAGTCACTGCTCTTTGAATTCTCTGTGTTATTTACTATTCCTTTGTAAAACATCCTGAACACATTCTGCATAGTTGACTCTACGCTTATTCTGTTGCCTTTTTATCCACCTAGCAACAGTCTTTTTTTTCATCACAAGAGGGATTTCTTCCTGATTTGGCTTCACCACTTTCTTGCAGCCCCTTATCTTTGTGGATAAGAAAATGTAAAAATCACTGGGCTTTCAAGAGTTCAGTTCTTGTTTTGTAAAGGAGTGTTACTGTTGCAATATTAAGATTAGATTTAGAAATACCTGTGGACTGTAGATTTCACAGGATATTTCCACAATCTGTTTCTGTTCCCAGTCACTTCTTATTACAGCGCCTTTGCAGAAACCATTTTCTGGAAAAGAAAATGCAAGTATTTTTTCGCATTGTAGCACTGATATTTAGCTCTTATATTGTAAAATGGACTGTTACGAAAGCCTGAATAGTTTTAGCTTCTACATTTATTTATAGGGCTAAGCAGCTCGGGCAAACTTTTATTTTGGGATTGGCAAGCTTACAAAGGAGGGCAGCATTTTGGAAAGACCTTATATTTTGCAAAGGAGGGTTAGGTGATATGATAGCAAGAATAAGCCAGCTGCTTAAGGTCCAGCTACGACAATACAGTATGCAGGCAAGGTCTGTAAGAGAACATAATATCAGTTCTCAGGAAAAAACATTTTCACACCATACTAGTGTAAGAAACCATAAGGTTGATACTAACAGCTGTGTATTTAACAGGCTCCGGAGGTAACATGGCTCTGATCCCAGTGAAGATGGGACTTAAGAAGGTGGACTCTCTGAGTAGTGTGTTCATTTAGTCTTTCAGCTCCTCTTACAGTTTTTTCCTCTTAATTCCTAAATGTTTTCCATAGCTGACTTGATCACAGTATGACTATAATCTTCATGCCACGTTTGCAATTCACTGTGTCTGGTTACTCTAAAGAAATCCTTAAGAAGGATTCACTTTTATAAAGCAGTAGCTACCGGCCATTTTCTGGATGGATTTTTTTGTGTGTGTTTTCTTTGTAATGGACTTCTAGGCAAGAATTCAGAACTTAAGTGAAAGACTTTATTTTTTCTAAGGCATTTTATACTCTTGCAGGCCATATAGAGCTACAGTCCTCCAAAAGACTCCTCTATGCTTTGATTCTTGTCTGCAAAGAACCAAAGGAGATAGATAGGCTAAGTAGTCACTGGGGAATCATAGTCTCTGCAGAACAGGTGTTTATACAAGGGAAAATACTTACAGCTAATTCAGATGACAGAGGCTTGCACTTGGACATGTCAGCAACAGAATCAGATTTGGAGCAGGATGTCTCCTGAATTGTAAACTCTGCAAAATGTGCAGGACCAACGACCCACTGTTAATAAGAGACCAGTGGCAATTAGCCCTTGTGCATGTGTCAGGAAGAGGAAAAAATCTGACATACCTTAAAGTGAATGCAAAGTCCTGCTACCTGTAGATGGAGCAGGTTTTAGTTGGGGTATTTCTGCCATTTGTATTACAGAAGAATATTTTTTGCCAATGCTGCTTTATTGCCTGATTATTTTCTACTTCTGTATATGCACAATCCTAATAACTCATCAATTAGCTATAGGTGAAACTAGTTTGTTTTTTTGTAAGAAGTTAGCATCTACATAGAACCAGACATCCAGAAACTCTCGTTAGTGACTTGTCGAACATTTCAAGCTGCTTTATAGAAAAGGATCACTTTTTCCATTGCCGTAATGCAAGTACCTCTGGGTTGGAAGAGAGGAACAGTTAAATAGTGCGTTGTAGTACTATATAACAGTTTGAGACAGAAAGTGCAAACCGACTATATTTAATGAATTTTAGAGAGACTGGATATTGCTGTGGTAAACAAACAGGATTTAGGCAGATGATCATTAATTTTCTGTTAGTCTAAAATTAATTTTAAATCATGTTTAAACTCATTTAGTGAACTACAGGTAAGTGTTAGAAGGCATGACTGTGCTTTATAAAATACATTCTAATAGGGAGTCACTAATTTATGGTGGTACTGGAAGAAAGAGCTCACAGTGAAGCTTTCCTGAACTTTGGGATGCCAATCTGCATCTTGAGTTGTGAAAGAAAAACAAACCCCTCCTTTTTACAATAAATGGAATCACTCTTGGATCAATGCAGCTCCTCATTTCCCGGGAGAATTCTCCCTGGAAACACTCTCTATACTATATAGATTCAACTTATAAACAACTTGTAAGGCATAACGACTTACATTAAGTGTAACAGGTGGGTCCATACTTCTTTAGGACTAAAGCAAGTCAGATGACTCTTGGCTTACCTGCATTGAAGCTTTTGTGACCTCAGCTGAGGACAGAGAAATAATGGGTCTGTTCACTTTTTTCACTGAACTTGGCAAGGCTCTGAACAGCAACCTCCAAATATTTGGGCTCAGTTGGACAGTCATCAACTGGGCAGTCAGGACATGTTGCCCCAATATACCTGCGTGGAACTTTTTATTCAAACAAAACAGTGTCACTAGTGACAGGTGTTCAAAACCGTAAGAGCATGTTGACAGCGTAGGGAAGTGTCTGCATCCATTTCTTATTTATGTCTTTGTGTCTTTGGTTGTTATACATACTCTAAACTTTTTACATAAATATGTTAAAACAATATTTAATACAGTTGCGATAGCCATCGACATAGTCACTGAATTGTCACGTAGATGAATCTCTGCCCCCTAACCCTACTCACCCATGCTCCAGTCCCCTAAAGTAATGATATATGGTTTGAGTCACTTAATGATTTTCACTCTTCCTGTATTTGCAGACCCTTAGAAATGTTGTAATGGAGGCAGAGACACTGCATTAAAAAGTCCAGCTTGCTGACAGCGCGCTTGCGCTTCTTACTTGTCTTTCACAAACCCGTAAAAATACTTTTTGGACCAGATGGTAAAAGCCCATACAGAGGTTCTGCTGAGTTTCCCAGCAGAGAGATGAGATGAAATGAGAACAAAGTTATTCTCGGCACTGCTCAGTGTTGCAGGACCGCAATGGTCTTGTGATCACTGGCTTGAGAAAATAAGGACAGCTGAAAGTGAATGGAGACACTGTGGTGCCGTTATTACAATTAAAATTTAAAGTAATGCTATATGGCAAACAGTTTTTTCCAGTCCTCTTTTAAAGTGTGTTGAACAAAGACATACCTGACTGTAGAATGCACTCGTAAGTACTGAGATGAGCAATTTTCCTTGGCTGATTAATGTAGATAATTGCTTTACATTGACCATAAACCTAAAACAATATAAACAGGTAGGAACAATTAATTCTGCGGCCTTGCAGTGACCACCTGGAACCAGTGAGTCACCATTTTTCTTCTTACAGTCATGAAATTCTGTACAACAAAAAAAAAAACTGTGTTAATACTCAAATGGGAATGAAGCACATTTCTCTTCTGAATAGACCCTGTAGAAATAAAAGGCCAGATCTTCCCTTGGTGTACTTCACCATAATTCTTAGTCGTACTTGTGCAGTGTTTATCTGCAGGTTGGTGTCCCCAGGACCACTCTCCCGGCAGCTAAGAACTGCTCAAGTGTCATAAATTGTTGTTCCTGGCCAAGCTCCTACTCTGGGAGCTGCGTGGATATACAGAGCCCAGACAGCTAAAAACCAGTGCTGGAGATCAGCCCAGTGTGTCGGGATCCAGTCACCTCAATTCCAGCTTTTTCCCTCTTTCCAATGTCCATAGTGAGGAAGGAGAATGGCTTGAAAGACCCTAAATCAACTCTGTGGCTCTGCAAGATCACCCTCACACACAAAGAAACTCTGACTTCATGGCAGAAAAGATACTGGCCTTTGTGTTTAAAAGTTGGATGAATGTTCTCTGAGTGCTTCTTAAATATTGCCGCATGGAGGATCGAGGCCTACAGGACATACATTTCTGGGGTTCATAGAAGCTTCCAAAGGCGTAAAAGGGGACTGGTCATGCTTTCTTTGGGTCCTTTTCCTGCTAAAAGTGCTGTAAGTAGAAATGAGCAGAATTTTTTTTTTCGGTTTTCCATTTAAAAATGAAAATTGATTGACCGAAGAAGCAGCTCTGACAAATTAATCAGACTTTTTTTTTTTTTCCATATGCAGAATTTCTTTCCAGTCAATCTCCATTTTTAAAGTTATTTTTTACTTTTTCATAATCATTTTGGTCACCTGTAGCAACAGGCTTAGGTCACTTTCTGTCTTTACCATGTATTTTGCTGGATTTTCTTTCTTCTCCCCTTTCAATACTACTTTTGTGAAGTTCTCAGAATAAAAGTAGAGTAAAACTAAACCAAAGATCACATGTTATATAAAAGTGAGTTTCTTTTATTCCCTTCTTGACAAGCTGTCTTTAAAATAAAGTCTTACAGAGTTACTATAAAAAGTATACCATGTATTCCAAATCACGCTCTAGCATAGCTATTTGTCCGTGTCTGCTGATTAGCTCCGGTCAAAAACTTTCTTTCCATTTTTTTAAATACATCTCACTGTTCCATAGACTGATAAGAAAGTACAGAGGAAAATTGTGAGCCTTAAAAAAGGGATTTTGATTTCTTTCTAACTAAGCTCTGCTGCCTACAAAAAGTGCATAGGTAGGGATTCTGCTGTCTTCTGTAGTACCTGAATAACTCTCATACCTGAGGTTAGGTATGCAAATAAAGTCCTTACAGTTGCATGAGTAGGTCTGGATGTACAGTGCTTCCGCAGCTTCTTGCTGAGAACGTGGCATATGGTATCTACTACGTCCAAGATGAGATAGGAGGCAGAACCAGTGATCTCCTAAACACATAAAAAAGGAAGACAGTTTGTACAGTTTTGTACAGAATGAAAGAGGGACACATAAGAGAGAGACAGAGAAACGAAATATGCAAAGGAGGTACATGCAAATATCCACAAGCTAAACATTCTGCGGGACAGATTTTCACCTGTGGCAAATCAGGTGAGCCAAATCAGGCCCTATTAGAACAGGCTTGGTCATGTATCTAGCTTCGTTTAATTTAAGAACAGCCTTTTGGAATCAGTGTTAGCCTTTTGATTCTGGAAGCAACCAGAACCCAAGAGTAAAGACAAAAATCGTGATGTTTTAATAGTCAACTGAATTTTAGGATTAGATTTGAAATATAGGCTGTTTTGCTTTCAGTAAGAATGAGACAGTAAATGCCATAAATAATAGTAAACTGTTAACATGGGACTTTGCTAGCATGTATATGAAAAGAAGGATCTTATTTCTCACAGTAGTGTCTTCTTCAAGTATGGATGCTTTGCAGTCACTGTAAAAAGACAGCAAATGCATTGGGGTGCACAACTTAAATACTCTCACAAATACCAGAAAGTGCTATGAGAGACCTTGCAAATCTACATGAATGTCTCTGGCTCACTTAAAGCTTCAGGCCAGTTCTTAAGTTCTGAACCTGTGCTTAAGTCCAGAAACCTTAACTGAATTCTCTGCAGCGTAGGTATGAAAAGCAGTTAGGGCTTAACATCTGGACAGATGTGTTTCCATGGGAGGGGGACAGGGAAATATTAAAAGTACAGCTCCGTCTATCAAGTGACACATAACGGGCAAGCACTGTTCCGGGGTACTTACTAGGGATACAGCTCATCAGGCTCATGTTTTATTTACTGGATTGAAGAGCTGGAAAGAGAGCAGCTGTCATCTCCAGTCAGCCTAAAGAACTTGCACATGGCTGTTAGCTGCCTGTTTAGGCTGAGATTATGCCTCTGCTAAAGAGGGAGGAAGGGCAGAGCTGAATGGGAGTAGCGTTCCTTCACTCCTAGTTCGTTTCACTCGTTTATGGAAAAAAGAGCCCTGTAGAAGTCTGGGTCCACTTTCTGTGCCTCAGTTTTGATTTCTGTTAAACAGCAAGTGAAGACCAGTCAGTAGTGCACCTAAAGGTTGGACTACTACTGGCTTTTTGTGTTTTTATGCTTCTTGGAAGAACATTAAGAGGCTTCTGTTCTTGAATTCTGAGGAGACTGAGTGATACTAACTATTCTGGTCACATAATACAGAGATTTTTTTCTGAAGAGAGACTGGGATGTGATTTTATATGTGAACTCTAAAGTATATACTTGTAAATGTATGAGTAAACCCATTAAATATAAAAGAGCAAAAAAAAAAAAGAAAAAAAGAAGTATAAAGAATGAGTAAACTGTTTTATAAACTTTTTCTCTAAGCTGTAGTATTACATACACACTTAGCATGCCTAAGTGTGTATGTATTTACATACACACTATTACATATACACTTAGCATACCTTATACCAGTTGTTGTGTTTTGTTATCTTTCTTTTTCTGAGTGCTCTGTGAAGTAGTCTTGCAAAGCCTGGCACTGAAATCTCAGGGTTTACCTACAATTCTAATCGTGAAGTTTAGTTATATGTAATGTTTTCCAAGTCCTTGAAAAGACCAAAACCTATTTCGACAAAGAATGAAGCTTAGGTGCACTAGCACTATATACAGTTGCATCTCAGTATCCTCACACCTGGCTGCATAGGTCCTCCTGTGGAAGGAAATAGTTGTGATTTTCTGTTTACCTGTGGAGTACCTAAATACCATGGTGTCATGTGTCCTTAAAATAGTAGCTAATATAGATTAGATTAAGAAACAGAAAGTAGGTCTAATCAAAGAGTATTTGCCATTTTCTGCAAATGTAAGTGCTTTTTGAGGAGTGCAGCATTGGGTACAGGCTTGTAATTTTAAATATATCTTCTATGAGAAAAACATAAGTAAGGCTATTCTACAAGAACAGTTAATAGGCAGGGAAAATGGGTATCTTTAAGGAATCCCAAAGTTAGGATTGGTTACTTGAGCTTTCAGGTTGGTCATTTGGGTATTCTAGAGGTGAAAGCACACACATCTCACATTAACAAAATATTCTTATGATCAAATGTGTTTGATGTTAGGGTTTACTCAGCTGAATCGTGAAGACTGATTCAAAAGCTCGGTGATCTTGGAAATACTAAATGCAGCCAGGCTCTCTGTATTTTCTGTTGCCTATAGCTCTCTTATAATACCAGCTCTAATACACAGATGAGCTTGTTATAAAGTCAACCCTTTTTTTGTCTGCCTGCTTCTTTATGCATCACCCTCCACTGTGAAAAGGATCATTTGGGGTTTATCCAGAGCTCAGCAGATCTCTGAAGGTTTCATTGTCCTTATTTTAATTCTCATAAAAAGACCATTACACAAGGGTCTTTTGATATCTGCTTAGTATTGAATAAAAACATATATCTGTTTTCTGCACTGACAAAATGATCCCTTCCTCGGTGCTGCTGATGCTAGTATCACCAGCGGAATGGAAGCCTTGTAGCCAGAAGGGATTTGGCAACAGCAGAGCATTGCCTTTGTGGTGGGTTGACCTGCTGCAGGGAGGGAAAGAAATGAAGAAATATTTTTGCTTGATTTGTAATTTTAAGTGGTTGTCGGTGAAGATAATCATGAATATCTCCTGTGAAAGGAAGGCCCTGTCCTGCTTTCATATAAGTTAATGGCAAATGGCTCATTAGTTTCAATGGGAGCAAAATTAAACCACAAGTTGCTTAAGGGCAGGTTTGAGTTTAAAATAATTTTGAAAATGTTTTTATCTTAAGAATTGGTAAAAAATGTGAGGAGAGCCCACTGACTGATAAAAAATACTAATTTATTGATTTATTTGTGGAGAATAGAAGGTTGCAGAGGGCATTGTTACCAGCTATGAATATCCCTGACATAGCTGACTGCTTATTATGTGTTCTCTTCCAGCAACAGCAAAAAGACGATGAGGAGCTTAGATGGCCTAGTGTGTTTTTACACAGTGCCTTGAAACATCTTATTTGCAGCATAAGCATATTAGATGCATACACAAAAAAAAAAAATAATAAATTAAACAAAAAAACAAATGAACAAAAAGCAAAGTATGCCTTAAAGAAAATAAATGAAGATTCTAGGGAAATCTAGTGACAGACCATATCACAAACAAGGAGCAGCTTTCTCCTGTGCTGGGATAGACTTGCTACAGTGAAGGAGAAGTGGGGAGATGAATCAAGTGGCTCACAGCATGTCTGCACCGACCATGCTGCAGTCCAGGGTGGTCATTGGGCTGCTCTAATTTTTTTCAGTAGAAAATAGCCCTGAAGGGCCATCTTTTAGCTGGAGCTTGACATGGCAGATTGAGTTGTGACCACATGTGCAACACCCCAGGCTTTCCCCTTGGTATATCTTCGGGGATAGGGCTAGTTGAGCCCCTAACAACATAACTGGTGACACAGGTTCTGGACCAACTTGATGGCATCCCATGTGAAATTATTCCCAAGATAACTGATGCAGTTGTTTTGTGGGCGTATTCTATCACCTGAGCAAAGCAAAACAGAGTGAATATAGTGCAAAGCATGGCAAAGTGTCTTTAATGGTGAGATCTCAGATTGCTAGAATTCACGGCATATCTGCATAAACTATGTCCTTGTGAAACTGTCCTTGTGTCCAGGAAGTAGTGACATATCCTTTCCAGAAGAGAGCTTTAAACATCTGGCAATGAGCCAATTTTTCTTTCAGGGTTCAGAACTCATAGCTTTTCAGATAAGATTATGGGAAGTGAGCAAGCATGGCAGCCAGTGTTAGTAGTATGTTTGCACAGTGCCTTGTGCTTTAGGGCCTTATGCACTCCTTTCAGGTTGTCCCTGTCTGGTGCCAGTAGATGCAGCTATTGTAACACAAAATAGAAATAAATTAAGCACACATAGGGAAATAAAATATTTGAAGATAAGAGTGATATTCCATATGCATTTCCAATATAACTTTTGCACATGACTGGTTTCAGATTTCTTCTGGAGAATGAGTCATCATTTAGAGGTCTCTGAAGAAATTCCCTGGTCCCAAGGTGGACTTGTTTACACCTGTTAGTGTTCACATCTTCTGTGCAAAATGCACAGTGACTTATTAGCCTTTGCACTCCAACTGTTCAAGGCAGTGGGAGGAAGGTGTAAAATTAAATTAAATCAGAGCAGTAGTGTTTCATACTGAATTTGTACTGATGCCTGGAGCTGTTCCAGGGGCAAGCAGCAGAGAATAGTGCCTGAGCTTTGCTCTCTAATTGCCCACAGCGGTGATGAAACTGTTTCTAGTCATCTATGTGTAAAGTTGACATGGCCCCTGGAGTCCTGTGAAATGTAACTTTACATTTTCCTTTTAAAATATTTCTTAGTTCAAACCCCTATTGCTAGAGAATAGCGATAGACACAGCACCTTTCACAGGAGAGACAGGGGTAGAACAAGCAGGTAACTTATCCGGGGATGTTCTCGGACACTGAAAATTCAATAGAGACTGAGTACATAGCCCTCTCTTCGGTCAGTGTTGATCTGACGAAGAGCCAGATCTGCAGCCTCCTCTACTGTGGTGGTGTTACAGTTGGGGGAAAGCAATGGAGTGGGCACTTCTCTGGCAGGAGGAGAGGCAGCCCAGGAGCGAAGCACCTGTATGCCAAAGACCTTTGAGATAAGTAAGACCATTCTGCTTAGAAAACCAGTGCAGCAAACCATCGTGGGAAGTCAGTATAGAGGGGTCTGCCTGAAAGAGCAGGCTTTTATGATGGAGCTGTGTCTCTTTTATAAACCCATGTCCCCTTTTTACCATCACCTTTAATCCTACAGCTGCAATTGCAAACGCAAAGTCAATGATTACCAGTTTTTACAAAAGCATTGTAGCTTCCTCAGAAACCAGAGAACTCGTTCTCCTTCTGGCTTTACATTTCCAGTTCAGTCTTTCACTGGGCAGATCATATAGCTCTGACCTCATCAGGAAGGATGAGAATACAGACACAAAGCCACTTTCCTAAGAAGCGAGCGTTGCTTAAATAAAGCTACAGGCAGGGCAGCTCTGGCTCCAGATCTGTTCTGTCAGTGATCCAGTCCTGCTCCCATGTAGGCCAATAGCAGTGATCTCACTGACTTGAATGGGGACAGGGTCAGGGCCCCAGAGTTGACTGATATTACACATTGTACATGTTATAACAAAATGCAAATTGTAAACAAATGCAAAGACCATCTAAGTTATATGCAGTCAGTTTGGTTGGGATGGAAAGCTGTGTTTGGATTCATTCTCTGTGTATTTCTACCCCGAGCAAGCAAAATGCAATCCCCCTCCAGACAAGAAGCCTATGAATAAGTGAGCACAAGCCAGCTCAAGCTGTTAAATATTCTTAGATAACATAATAACAAAGCCATGTACTGTAAAGACTTAACAGTTTCATCATGGTGTCTGTTTTTAAGCAGGAATTTCCACTGTCTTCATTTGGGACGTAACAATCACCGTAACTGAATATAGTAGCATAGATATGACAAGCTTATAAACACATATTCTTGCCCCAAAGGCTTCACTCCTTTTGGTGGGATGCTGCAAAATGAGCTGCTGTAAGAGGTGGGAAGAAATAGACAATGAGTGAACCAAGGTTATCCAAACAGTGTTAGGCTATTGAAAGCATCATTACAGGATATGTTGCCCTACAGTGCCTTGTCTTCATCTTTTGAGGATGTTGCCTGCACCTCTCAATTTTTGACACCTACCAGGTATTTCCCACCTACCCACTGTGATTTCAGCTGGCCTGCTTCCTGAGCTCCGAACATCTCCTATTTCATCCCCTTCTCCTTCCATCTGATTTTATTCTCACTGCCACATGAAGCAAAGCTCTCTACAAATTCTCCATCTTTCTATGTTTCTCCTGATGCCAGAGGGCAAGTCCTAATTCCTTTTATCTCCTCCTGTCTTAACTTTTGCCTCCATCTGGTTTCAGCCTCTGCCTGGCAGTGCCTACCTTTATGCTTCTCTGGGTTTAGAGGCAAGGCAAGCTGTATATGAACTCCCATACTAATTAAAACATTTTTATTACCTGAGAACCAAACTTAGGGAGGAAGTAAGCACTGCCTAAAGTCATACGCCAAGAAGGGAGGAGAGGGAGGTGGCCTGTAAATTATGGAACCAGCACTGATGATGCAAGCCTCAGTGCAAAAGGTCTGAAGGGGAGAATCTAACAGAAAAAAAAAGCTTTTTAAAGAGAATAGAGTATGTAAAGTAAACTGAAGAGAGAACTTCCTTCATCTGACTTTCTGTAGTCAGTAGCCTCCTCCTAATGCTACCTCTCTTTTGCTCTTGTTTGTACTTTGAATCAATAAGTACGTACATCCGGTTGTTTTCTTGCCAGTTCACATCACCCTGCATAGTTCTGCCATATTTAATCCAGACTTCTCTGTAAAATGCAGCTACTTATCCCATAACTGTCTCCTGGCCAGATGATTTAGGACCTTAGTTTTTTATCTTGTTCAGTGTTATTGTCTCCCTTATACTATATGGTCAGAATTGGCTCAAAGGAAGGAATCTCACCTACTTAATCTTTAGCTCCTTGGCTTCTCTCCTCTAATCATTGCCACAGTCTACTCAAGTTTAAATTGCAGGAAGCCACAGGAGAATCATAAGCCTGTGGCTACAGGCCTGAGGGGCAAAGAAAACTGGTCCAGCAGTGTCACCATTTTAATTCGTTTAGCACAGCTCCGTGCTCTGCCTTCATTCCTTTTCAGCAACAATTAGAACAGTCAAAGCCTGATATGAGTGAGGACTGTGAGTATGGGGGGAACCATTCACTGGCATAGTTACTCTCCCATTGCATCACCTAGGACACATGAAGCCATGCAGGTTTAGTAATCCTCTTGGACTCATCCCATGCCACACTAACCCCCTGCCAGATTTGGAGGCTGATTTGCCAGCAAAGAGATTGCACTGTAGTCACTATTGATTCTCAAGTGATTTGCTGAGTAGAAATGAAAAATGATCGCAGAAAATTCTGCTCAGAAAAACGTTAGTTTGAAATGACACCAGGGTGCTTTGTGGCTAATCTGTAAGGAACTATGTGCTTGAGAGGGGCAGGAGTAACTGTACAAAAACTTGCCTGTGATCTTGAAGATCTGGTGAAGTGATGACCACAATTACTTGAGGAGGATCCCCATGAAAGACACTGGTGTCCTACTGAGAGACAATCCTCCTGCAGCTTTTCACCTTGAAAAAATAACAGAAACTGGGTAACTGTTTCTCTGTTCCTCGTTTTGTGTTATGGGAGGCTCTGTGACCACAGCTGTCTTCTGGATGATGCTGAGTACCTTTATGTTTGAGGGTTGCCCTATATTGAATGAGGAAGGAAGAGTGCTAGTGGAGGACAACATTTTTTCTATTTAACAGTACTGTAAATTTTTCTTTTTGATTTTATGTATTGTCTCTTTTTTTTACTGATAGTAAGAAGAATCTGAGCTCTTTAGCCCAGCAGTGCTCAAAGTCTGTTCCTCAGGGAGGCTGCAGAACCTAGCCCAGGGCATGTCCAAAGGGGTGGGATTTTGCAGCCAGGAAGAAGGAGCTGCAGCAGGGATGGGGCTGAAACTCTTCTGAGAAGACTTTGGTTGGTGGCAAAGGTGGAACACTCAGATAGCAGGACCAAAGGGTCACATGGCTGCTAGACTGAGCCACCTCATGTGTCACCAGCTGCTTTTCAAACTCAAAGTGAAGGTTGATGTACAAACTGTATCCTGGAGGGAAGGGATACAAGAAATGAATGTTGAGAAACACTGCTGTAGCCATAGTACAGAAACGGCAGAAGCAGCAATGCAGACTCGCTCACATTGTTCCCTGTGCCTGGGAACGCTTCCCCTGCAGCTAAAGGATAATAACTCATTTTCTTTATCCTTACAGTACGTGGCATTTCTATGGAGCTTGGTGCCAGTTAGTACTGGCTGTGTCGGTGCCTCTTATAATGAGGAATTGTTATATCACTCACTGACTCTGTTCTTTGTACTCTTCTACCCACTGGAAAGGAAAAAATTTCTCTCTTCAAGTACTTGACCTCAAAACATGGACACGGCTGGGAAATCTGAGCATGTCCAGCCAAAGCATCACATGAAGTGCATATGCTTTAGCAAAACAGAATTTGAAAAAGGTGAAAAGCATTGCCAGTCAGTGATGCTGATCTTACACAGTTTTTCATGCTGCATTTCAGGGAAGAAGGCATTTTTATTTTACATATTGCAATTTCATATCACACATTGCCAAGAGGATCTGTTACTAAATCATTTTTTACTGAAGTGCAGGGACATGAGTCCAGGGCCATACTGGGGGCGACAAAGTGACTGCTTCAGTAGTGGAAAATGTAATGCTCCTTAAGAGGACAAGTGTTAGGAAGAAAGGAGATGAGGTGCAGTTACTAACTATAATCACAAGAGAGAGCACAGGGTAATTCTGTTTTTTTTAATTATTATTATTATTTTTAGGGAAAAATGGAGTAGTTAGGCCAGGTATAGGAGAACATCTGTGAAGCCTGGAGGCTGCAAATGTATATACGCTTGTTTGTGTGGTTGGAAAATGCAACAAGAGAATGCAGCATTTTCTGAGTTCAGAAATCCCTCCGGGCAGGGATCCTTTTTACAAATATGCTGTTTCTGCCATCAGAGGGAGAATTTTCTGAGCCTTGGAAACACTGTCTTTATAACTTAATACCCACTTTGCTACACACAAGATACTTTGTATGCTCTGGTTAAGGTGGCTCCTGGATTTAAAAATCCAAAAGCTGGAAAAAGTAATTCCTGAGGAATTAAAAAGCCCATCTAGCGTATCTGAAGTTCTAGTAGTATCACAAATCAAAATAGTAACTATTTCTTTAAACCCTATACTCTGTCCCATACAATGGGATTGGATGGTAGGGACTTCCTACATTATTACCACTTTTAAAATTTTGCACAGCACTATACTAGCGCTTTTAAAACAAATGGCTGCATGCTGAGAACACTGGAGCCACTGCTTTACAGAGAAGCAAGAAATCACTGAGCAATCAGGTGGCAGCTTGTGAGGTAGCCTGCGTTACGGTTCCTGCGAGAACTCAGTGTGTTCTTGAAACGAGAGAGTTGCTGCCTCAGTGGGGAGAGCTGATCGGCAGTGTGTTGCCACCATGTGAGACTATGGTTCATAGAGTCTGGGCTGTTGTCCCTCTTTCTTTGCCCTGCAAACACCCAGCTGAAGCACCGGTGTAAGCGCATACGACTTTTCCTTCCCCCATTCACTCAGCAGAGCAGAACCCTTCTGTATAGCAACCTGTTGCACTCTCACCAGGAACAAATGTTAGTTGTATTGCTTACTGAACGCTGGATGATGGTAGCTAAGAGAGCAGCATAAGTTACTTGAAATAGTTCAGAAATGACATGTATTCTGCAGGTTTTGCTGGCTGCCTGATAATTATCTTGTAGCAAGTGCTGTTCCTGGTTAAAGATTCATGACTGTGTTTGAGACTGCTCCCCCAGGCCTGCAGAATTCCAGTCTGGCTGGCAGTAAAGATCCTTCTGGCCCTTGTCCCTTATTACTGCTCTGCCTAGGGTAGATTTTGTCTCTAACGTGTCTCTTAAGAAAAATAGGGAGATTAGTACAGTGGTAAATTGCCTTCACTGTCTGGGCCCCATTGCATGAGACGTGTGTCTAAAACATATTTTTATTCCCTTTAGTTGGTATTCCCTCATGTGCACACTATGATCATATTACTCCTGTGTATCTGCTAGAAGACAGAGAGGACAAATGTGCTTGGTTGGAAGTATTGGTGCTTTCAGGCCATGCAGGAATGAACATGTCCTGATTCTTTGTTCTTTTCATAGGTATGGATGCTGTTACTATTCATTATGTCATATCCAGAAGTAGTGAGGTACTTTTGGTGGATATTGAAAGTAGGTACATGCTAGGATACACTAAGGTGGAAGGGAGAAAAGCATGTCTTGCCTGTCACTTCTTTAGTGTTTCTGGTGTGTGATCAAAAGAAAGGACTGACCTGATTTTCTGCAGTGCTCAGCACCCACACATCCCAGAGAAGCTGATGAGAAGTGCAGGAGCTTACTGTTTTTGAAATCAAGCCCAGAATATGACTCATAATGCCATGAAGGAGATGCTTGACAACTAAATGAAAATATATACAGATATAAGGTAACAGAGCATTTCTGCTGAATGTTTTATTGTGAAGTAACCTTTGGACTGGTGTCTCTATCACAAAGCTACAACTATTGTACAGCTCAACAGTGTCATTGAAACAATATTTTCTGTATTTTAACTAGAGCATCCCTGTGTGTAGAGAAAACAACTGCTATATTTTGCACTCCCCTGCATGTTGAAGCAGGTCTTTGCAAGATCCTGGCCTCTGCTCTGCTGTCTGCAAGGTGAAACTCAGTGGGGCTCAAAGATTCAAGTGTTCTCAGCTGTTTGCATTTGATGTGCTCCGTGTGTTGGTGATGCTGTTGTGTACTGATCCTTCAGTCAGCTGGCTTGCTGTGTCTGTAACACAGCCTATATCTTAAAATGGTGGATCCTTCCAGGGCATGGAGGAGGAGGAGGCACAAAGCCAACTGGACGAGCTACTTTGTCATGCTGAGCAACTTCTGCAACTGTTCTTTTTACTACAGACTTTGCTGCTAGCGTGAAAGTAGTAAATTCTGAAGAGCTGGATTCAGATGCAACAGGGTTATTGTGGGAAAGCCTGAGATTATGGTTTGTGAAGCCTTGTACACTGGGCAGCAGTCCTGCTGATGTATCTTGGCCTGGCTGAGAATAGGTAACTCCAGGCTGGAAAAGAAAAACAGTTTGTGTGTGTGTTCAGTGACGTGGGGTTTATTATATAGGGATCATTTTTATATTACTAGGTACCCTGTTTCTGACTAGACATAGGCCCCCCCACCCAGGTGCAAAATGTTCCTGACCATCAGGGAAGTTTTGATCGGGATTTGAACACAGAGGCAGGAGTCCAGAAGAACATTTCTAATAGCCAGTGGATCATTAGCACCAAATTCTGTGCTACGTAAACTTTCAGTACAACCTGTGCAGCTGGTGAAACACTCAAACCAAGCTGCTCCCCTAATCTGAATTAGTCTCTCTTTCATATACCCCTTAGACAGATACCATTACTGTTGTGTTACCAAGAGCTCTGGTCCGTAAGAAGTACTCAGACACCAACTAGCCCATCTCAGGCCAAAAGGAGGCTAAAATAACAGGTGAGTGCTCAGGCGCTGTGTACCTAGGTGTCCCCTGCCCTTGCTATAGCAGTGCAGGTGAGGGATCCCTGAATTCAGTCAGGTCTAAGGAATACGAGCAGAAGCCCCCAACTGATTTCATCTACCACAGAGGCTCAATTATGTCTTACATCTAGCTAGCCCTGCCCCTAGCTGAGCAGAGTTTGGTTCCATTTGCCCTACCAGGCATGTAAAGTTCCCAGATGGTTAGGAAGGGAGGAGCTGTGTCAAGCAGGGTTGACACAGATGACTGAATTCCTAGCGCAGGAATACATAGGACAGTGAGGAGCCACCTTATTTTTTTTTAGGGTACAAAGTGAACCTCGTAAATTATCACAGATAGCTAATGCAATCTACAGTGAAAGAGGTAAACTCAGGGTGATTGCTTCAAACTGTACTAGTAGGTTGGGATACACTGAAAAGGATGCAGATTTCCAGAGAGCTGATACCTGATGTCCGTAAAGTTTGCAGTCTACTTGGACGTCCTGTAAGGGTTGTGTTGCCATTGTTGCCGTGCAGAAACCGAAATTCTGGCAAAACAGCACACAGTCAAGAGAAAGGTTATAAAATAGAAGTGGTCTGCATTACAATTTTTAATTTTAGCACATTAAGAAAGTAGCCACATTGTTTATATATATTTTTTTCTGAGCAGTCAAGTGCTTGCTTTTGAGCCTGCTGGATTCAAAAGCCAGACTGTTTAAATATATAACCAGCAAATATGTGAAATTCTGGCATTATTCCAGAGTAGGATCCTCTATATTTCTGGTTATGGGGGAGGAAGGGGGAAATATATAGGAATTTGGCTAGGTAGAAGGTTCCCACCCATGAAAACTGCTTGGACTCAATTTCATTAGATACAAAAGAATAATTTTAGCATGGTAAAGTATACAGTGTATATATAGTTCACAAGAACTTATGTATCAGAACAAAGCACACTGACAAAACTTAAACTGTAGGAAGGTAGGGCAGAGTCTAACCTTTTGTTATATATTTGTATATTGCCTAGTACAAAGGAGCCTAATTTTTCAGTTGCACGTGTTAAGAATAATAAATAATAACATATATTCTGTTTATTAAAAATATTTTTTGTTAAGGACACCTTTGTCCTCAACCTTTTAGAAATATGCTAAAATGCATCAGGATTCAACCCGGATACATCAAGGAGAAGAGAACGGGCTGATATAGCTTTAGAAATTATGTGTTGAAAAGCATACCATGAAAGTATACAGCTCTTGCACTTTTGTCTTTACAAAGGTCTGTTCCTGCACAAGGGCAAGTGCATGAGAGCATGCCTCTTTTCTACCCCTGAAATGGCTAGACCTGGACTGCTGTGCTGGCATACTCACAGACTGATCGTCAGGCAGCAACTGACAGGCATCCACATTTTCTTTAGCTTCTTCTGCTGAGCAGTTCGTGGCAGCCACAGCAAACTCAACGAAGACCAAGTGCACTGGGTGATACTGATAAAACAGGAATATTGTTTAGCAGACTTTGCAGTGTGAAATTGCAGAGCTGCTGAGAAATGATAAAAGGCTCATGTTCTAAGAAGTTTGGTTTCTAGCTCTGCATCTCCCACTGAAGTCAGAGGGAATCATGTGGCTAAGAGGACACAGAATCCTTGGGAGATCAAGAGCAATTCAGTAGGGCAATTTAAAGCAAGCCAGGTCTATTTGCAAACACAACTAGTTATCACTGGGCAATTACCGTAGAAGAAATATTCTGTTTACATAATATTCTAATTCTAGCAATTACCTGTATTCGGGCTCTTCCAATCTCAAGGAGTTTGAGGTAGACGTCAGCAGTTCTGCTGTTGTGGTCATTGAGTGCAGCTGTAACAGCTGTTAATACTTGCGTGTTGTTTAAATTTGCCAGCAGTGGACAGTCAGGGCAGACTTGGATAACATCTTCATTTGAGTCTACAGGAGAAACCAGGCAGGTTATGTTTTCATCAGATGGCAGGTTATTTCTGAAGACATTATAGATCTATTCAGTGACATGAAACATTGTGTTTCATGGTCTGTCCCAAATTACAGTGGAAAGGATTTTTCGCAGTACAAACTACAGATGGCAGTATTTCACATAACTTTTGCCACTGAAGCTCTGAAATCTTTATTCAAGGAAAAATGTCATGGACTTCAGGAGCTCATTTTGAATGTTCTTACTCAGGTAAGAACCTTACCTCTTAATCGGTTCTCTTTGTGTCAAGCTATCTGTGACACCAATGAAAAGATGTATGTCTCAGCTCACACAAGGAATGGTGGAAAAATGAAGATGTTCTAAGTTATTGGAATCGTGTGTGCATGAGTGTGTTGTTTCATTCAGTCACCAGTTCTGAAAGTAACGCCTAAGACATCTCATACAGAATAGCGATTCCACCTTCCCATGGCCAACACTGAAAGTGTTGACTCTAGTAAATAAACTGCATCTTGCAAAGGGCTCTGAAGTTCAGCAAGCTCTAGTTCAGCAACAAGGAATCAAATTCTTGAGGCTACACTCCTGAGGGAAGAGCCTGAGTGCCTGCCATCTCCACGTCAAATCTGGGAACTTCTCCCTGGGTAGTCTTATCAAATCTTAACTCTCATAGTAAAGAGGACCAAAGAGAGAGGGCCACATTTGTAAGTGAATGAAATATGGCAAGGGAGAGAACACTTCCAAAACAGCTGGGCTTAGAAAACTCATTAATTGTCATTTTTTTATGCCATACTTATACACAGCACTTGGCAGTGCTTAGAGCCAGAAGGGCTAGTGAACTGTAACCGCTGCCACTAGATTCAAACCTAAAGAACAAAGTCTTTACCTGCATGTGAGTGGCATTTGCTGGCAAGTACAGATAACTTCCCATCCAAATTCTGCAATTTAACGTCACAATCACCTTCAACTGCCTAGAGAGAGACAAAATTCAGCGGGTTACATCGTTAAGATAAATAAGCATCTCTGAAAAGGGCAACTACTACTAAATTCAAAAGAATAGATCCTGGCTGAGTGTTCCTGGCAAAATCAGTCTGAAAGCAAAGGGCCTGCTAGGCTTTTACTGGTGTCTGTGATTTTATAAAAGGCAGACCTTGGCTGCAAAATTCGGATCCAAATCTGGATCTCAAAAGTATCAGAAGTGCCAGGGTATCCAGATTATAGATGTTTAGTTCAGGTCCTTCTCTCATAAAGAGCAAAGAATAGGAATACTCACGAATTAAGACTTCCAGCAGAGCCGTTTGATAACGTTCTCACTAATCTCTGCTGGTCAGTGGCCATGGTAACAGCAGAGTGTGCTGCCTGTGCGGGAGCTGGCTTACGAGCTGGGCGATCCAACGGGGGAAGAGGTGTCAAAGGTAAAGCTGGAGTCACTGGCAAGAGGGAGCAGTTAGAGTTCCCTCCCCCTACATGGAAAATGGGATCCGAGCCCTGGTGCGTATAGGATGGATTATGCTTCAATTTGAGCCATGAGCTCTGTGAATTGGGCCCCTTTTTAGAAGCAGCAAACTAAAGTGTCAATTTCTTACTCTGCTTTCCACTCAAAAAGCAAAGCTGCCTGTACTCAGACAGCACTTCCACTGCTTTGGTTAGGGAAACTTTTTAGAGCTGAATAGTATTTGCATAAGACCAAAATATTCGGGTGCCAGTAAATTCCCTTGGAGCATTACTTTGAGGGCAGAGCCCTGTCTGAGGGGAATAGCTCTCCTGCAGTCCCTGGTGGCCAGACTTGAGGCAATTTCATTAGTTAACAGCCCACACACTGCCAGCTGAAAGCTGTGGTTTGCACTAGCTCACAACTTTCCCTGTCTCCAGTTTGCAACAGGGCAGTGACATCTAGACTGGCAACGGAGGGC